GGGACTCGCAGGAGTCTCCTCCAGCACCACAATCCAAAGGCCTCAATCCTTCGGCGCTCGGCCTTCCTTATAGACCAATTCTCACAGCCATACATTGTTGTTGTTAGTCGCAAAGTCATGCCCCACCCATCCCAACCCCATTGACAACATTCTTCCAGGCCTTTCTGTCCTCCACCATTCCCAGAATCCACCTAAGCTCACATCTACTGCCCCAGTGGCTCCATCCAGCCGCGTCCCCTTCTTCTTTTGTCGTCAGTCGTTCCCAGCAAGGTCTTCTCCAGGGAGTTCAGTGTGGCTTGTACCCAGTTAATTATGAACAGGATTGGAGCCTAGATTGGGTATCTGAATTTGGATTGTGTCTCTCTACATCATTGTTTTCACTGTTTAAATGTATTCATATTTTTAAATAAGTTTTATTTAAAATTGAAATTATAATCCTAAAAAAAAACCAAAGAAAAAACTAAAAACAACATCCATCATCAAAAACGTCAGGCCCGCTGGGTCAGCCCCCACACCCTTCTTTTTTCATTTATGGTAACTTAAAAACATATTTAAATCTGTGCAAAGTTCCATTTCTCTAGCCCATAATAAAAAGAGCCCCAAGTTTGATAGAAGTCAGTATCTTCCTTCTCCTTCAGTGGTAATGTATTCAGAAAGGGGGGTGTTTGCAGTATACCCACACAGTTTGGGAAGAAACATGCACCCCTCCCCCCAGGCACATGTGCACACATAGGTAAAATGGTCATTCAGGGGAGTGGGAAACAAGGCTGGCCTTTTTCCTTCCCTTCCCCCACCTTATTCACCCCCCCCCCCCCCCCCAATCAAGGCTAAAGTTAATTAGTCTGGGATTCAGAGGACCAGGTGGCTGAAGGGGATTTGGGGTGGAAAGCAATTGTGGGTTAGAGAAGTGAGAGGAAGGTTTTTCCAAGGAGCTGGCAGACCTGGTGTTTTGCTTTTGTTTCAAGGAGTAATTATTCTATTTATTTATGTTCTGCTCCCTGCACTGGAGTTCCAGGTAGCTCACAGAATTATAAAATAGGTAATGAAACCATGAATACAAACATACAAAAGGTTAAAATATTATTAAATCAGCTAGAATATTAAAATTTGTATGAAATACAAACAGCAGGAAAGGCAGGAGACGCAACGGAGCAAGTCCTTGCACGCAGAAGGTAAGAAAAGTCTGCGTTTTACTCCAAACACGTCTGGGCGTCTGGCTGGTAATACTAGCCCAGAAGAAGCCAGCATGCTGAAGAAAGGCATTTTGCTGCAAGGGTTGCAGAGCAATCCGGGTTGACTGCAGGGAAGGCCAGTTTTGCCCTTGCTTCGGGGCCATGTCTCCCTCCTCTGTGGACTTTCCTTTCCTTGGGTAGAGAAGGGAACTGACTCCACCCAGCTGCCACTGGGACACACGCCACTCTGGATATTACATAATTTCAGTCCGGATCAATTAATGACTTGGGGATTGGTAAAACCGTTTGCATTGGACTTGGATTATTTAAAGATATAAATGGTCCTTTTCATAAAAGCAGGGCTAAGGGAGGGACGCAGGACGCTTCCATGCGGTTCATTTTGCTCAGTGGTATTGAGCCAGCCCCTCCAATAAAGGAACAAACGTTTATTTATCTACATGTATTTATAGGCTGCATATAATTGCCGAGGCCTTCCCAGGTGGCTTACAATACATAAAACATTAAGAGAGTAAAACACATTAAAAGCAATTAAAACATAATGAATTAGACATCTATAAAAGTAATTAAAATGGGTCACAGCATGCAGGCTAAATGTTAAAATTTCCTAAGACAGTAAGTCTTTCTGAAAGGAGAATAGAGATGGCGCCAGGCGGATTTCCCTGGGGAGGGAGTTCCAGAGATGGGGGCAGCAGCGGAAAAGGCCCTGCGCCCGGTTGCCACTCCTCTCATCTCCACAAGAGCTTGTGGTTCTCACAGAAGGGCTTCCTGGGCTGATCTAAGGGGGCGGGAAGGTGTATATGGGTGCAGACGGTCCTTTGGATAGCCGAGCCACAAGCCATTTAGGGTTTCTTTATTTATTTAAAATACTTCTACCCTGTCCTATACGAAAATCATCCCAGAATGGCTTACAATAATTAAAACAATATTTTAATTATTTAAAACTTTTATATGCCATCCCTTATGCATAGCATCTCAGGATGGCTTACAATCCGTAAAAATCAAAATGCAATAAAACCATCTATACCATTATAATAAATGACGTATAACCAATGAAAATAAATTAAATAAATTTGACTGTTATTATTATTATTAGAACATTTCTATGCCACCCCTTGCTGAAGCCTCGGGGTGGCTTACAACACAATAAAATACAATAAAATACAAAAATAACAATATAAAATTAAAATTAACAATATAAAATAAATAAAAAATATATAACATTAAAGATAGGTATTCAAAGATAGGCTGGACATGCACGTGGTGGGCATGTTGCGAGCGGAGCCGGTGGGAGCTGGGGGTCAGACTAGATGGCCTGGGAGGCCCCTTCTGACTCGCTCTGTTTCTGTTTCTGTGTTAACATGGCATTGGGAGAGAAAGTCTAGTGGCTTCTGGATCGAGGGAGGTATTTCTGTCACTCTACATGACTCTGGTGCACTCACAGCTGGAGTCTTGTGTTCAGTTTGGGCCCCTCATTACAAGGTTGGAATCGGTGCAGCGTGGTGGCCGGTTTGCAGGATAAGCTGTATGAGGCCAGACTGAGGGAGCTGGGCCTCTTCAGCCTGGAGAAGAGGAGGCTCAGAGGGGATCTGTTGGCGACATACAGGTGTGTGAGGGGGTGTCACACGGAGGTGGGCAGAGACCTGTTCTCCCCTGCAGAGGAAGGCAGAACGTGCTCCAATGGAGCCAAGCTCAGGGAGCCCAAGTTCCATTTGGATGCCAGGAAGCACTTCCTGATGGTTAGGACCCCGAGGGTATGAATGGGCTTCCAGGGGAGGTCGTTGAGGCCCCATCGGTCGGGTGTTCAAGGATAGGCTGGACGTCCACATGGTGGGCATGTCGTGAGCGGAGCCGGCTGGACCCGGGGTCAGACTAGATGGCCCAGGAGGTCTCTTCCGACTCGCTCTGTTTCTATGTTTCTATTAAAACATTAATTTTTAAAATAATGATTAAATAAATACTAAAACCAGTTAAAATACATTAATCCTTAAAATAATGGGTGAATAAAAAGGTGTTTATCTGGTGCCGAAAAAAATATAAAGTCGGTGCCAGGCGAACCTCTCTGGGGAAGTTTAAAAGCCGTTTAAAAGCCATTCCTTTAAAAAAGACCTATGGGCCAGCTGAGAACAGGGTTGGCCACAGGGACAGGGTTCTGCATTGTGATGTCCTTGTGATGTCACCCCTGCTAGGACCTTTCCGCTCTTGCACCTGTTGTCCAGCATGGTTTATAGAAGCAAAGGGGAACTTCAGCTAGTGGGATCTGCTTGGGTTTTCACCGGACCCTTGAAAGCCACCAGAAGCCATTTGCGTGGCATGAAAGGATTCTGAGTTCAGGGATTTCTTCTGAAAGATCTCCCAATCCTTCCAGACTGGGATGAGAACACAAGGACGTAAGAAAAGCCCGGCCGGATCCGACCCAAGGCCCAGCCCATCCAGCATTCTGCACACACGGAGGCAATTCAGCTGCTGCAGGATCCCTCCAGCAGGATGGGGGCAAGACCTCCCGCTGCCCAGCTCCTCAGCAATGGGGGCATGCAGGCAGGTGAAGGAGGGAGCCCGTGGCCAGCAGGCCTAGTAGCCGCAGAGAGCCTCCTCCCCCGTGAACCTGTCCAGGCCCTTTTAAAGCCACCCAGACTGGCGGCCATCGCCACTTCCCATTAGTCAAAAGGCTCTCTGGGTGGCTCACCATATGGAGTCTTGCAGAGTATTATGGGCTGGGTCAGGCCTGAATGGGCCATAGCAACCCTTGAGCTTCACAAAAGCTCGGCTCCAAGAAGATTAGAGCAATACGGCAGTGGAACTGGCTGGAGAGGTGCTGGGCTCTCCCACACTGGAGACATTCAGAAAGAACCTGGGCAGCCACCTGGGCTGGATGGTGTGAACTGGTGTCCTGCAACAGCAGGGGGATGGACTGGATGGCCTTCCTGGCCCCTTCCAGCTCAGTCATAGAATTCAATGGTTCTGTGATTCTAAGAAAGCCCTATGAGGAGAGACTGAGAGAACTTGGCACTTGTCCTTCCTGTTCAGCCTTGAGAAGAGAAAACCAACAGGGGTCATGATATCCCTCTATAAATCCTACAAAGGCTATCACAAAGAGGAAAGCCGAGGTATCTTCTCACTGATAAAAGTCCAGCTGCCACAAGCCAGATTCAGGCTGGACATCAGGAAAAGCTTCCTCATGGTCAGAGCAATACGGCCGTGGAACCAGCTGCCTGGAGAGGTGGGGGGCTCTCCCACACTAGAGACATTCAAAAGAAACTGGGCAGCCATCTGAGTGGGATGGTGTGAACTGGTGTCCTGCAACAGCAGGGGGCTGGCCTTCCTGGCCCCTTCCAACTCTACTATTCTGTGATTCCTTGATTCTGTGCTTGCCGGGAGTGATGAGAGGTGTAGTCCAACATATCAGAAGAACAGCAGCTTAGGGCAGGCCATTATAAATGGTTATGTCATTAAAGATAGTTTTAAATGGAACCAGCTGCCTAGAAAGATTCTGTGCTCTCTCACACTGGAGACATTCAAGGCCAAACTGGGCAGCTGCCGGAATGGGATGGTGTAGCTTGGTGTCCTGCAGCAGCAGGGGGTTGGACTGGATGGCCTTCCTGGCCTCTTCCAACTCTACTCTTCTATGAGTCTGTGAGTGGGGAGAATCTTTTTGCTGCAGGTGTAATTATCATTTAGAAATGCCTGCCCATCTGTTGCGAAGTGCCTTCCGGGGGAGTCACCCTCTGCCCACCCCGGACTTTGGTCTTGCGCCCTTGGGCTGGAGCGAGGCAGCCTCCCTTCTGTGTGCTTGTCGCCCTTCTCGGAAAGGTATATGAAGTATCTGTACCCATACGAGTGTGAGAAAAGAGGCCTGAGCAGCCCCAACGAGCTTCAGGCAGCCATCGACAGCAACCGGCGGGAGGGCCGTCGCCAGGGCTTCAGCGGCTCCATCTTCACCTACTCCCCCAGCGGTACCCACACCATGCTGCCTTCCCCCCAGCTGCAGGTCCCCGCCATGGGGATGGCCTCGGCCACCAACGGCAGCCCCATGGTCTCGGTTCCAAAGATCAAGAAAGGTAACGGTTTGACCTCTTTTGTGAGGGTTGCAGGTGGGTCAGGCCCTCGGAACGTTTGGTTCCCAGCTTGGGTTGGGCATCGTCGTGGTCCTGAGTGTCCAGAAGCACCAGCTCGCCGATTCCAGCAACAAACATTTCAAGGAACTGTTGCAAAAATCTGTCCTTGTTCCAGTCTCTTGCAAGGAGTCGCTCATTACACGTGCAGAAAAGGGCTTGAGCGCCTTGGTTCAACATGAAGCGCGAAGCTGTGTTCGGTTGCTTCACGCCATTGTGGTTTTGGACCACCCTTCCAAAGCAGATTGGTGACTTTCTGGGCAAGAGCAACAGGGGTTGCAGTGTCTTGTGGGCAAGGTGGGTTGTGTCACTCCGACATCTGAAACTACTTACACCAGATTTTGTGGCGAAAGCTGATCAGGATTCCCATTCTCAGCATTTTGGCATGGTGGAAGGCTTAAATCTTTTCGGGGAAGTTGTGGCCAAAGAGCAGCTCAAAATGGCGACCTAACTGAGGTGCTGGAGAACTCTTGATGGAATCAGCTGCCCGGGAGGGCCCGGAGCAGTCATTTCACACATCCAGAGGGCAGCAGGTTGGGGAAGCCTTTGAAAAAAGATTGCGCATGCTCAGGGACCTTTTCCCTTCTGCAGGTACTGTGTGGGTTGGAAGCTGTAAAGGTGGGTCTGCATGAAGCGGCTTTTTAATCTCTGTGGCTGCTTGTCATTCTCTCTCACTCTTTCTCCCGCCCGCCTTTCCACTGCAGAAGAAGACAACCCGATCCCCATTGCTGTGCCCTCCCACCTGCCGGTCTCCCTGGCGGGCCACCCTGTTGTCGCTGCCCAGGCCGCCGCCGCCGCCGCCCAGGCCGCCGCCCAGGCCGCCGTGCTGGAGCATCTGCGGGAGAAGTTGGAGTCTGGTGAGCCCCCGGAGAAGAAGTCAGCGCTCGTCTCGGACGAGCAGTGCTCCTTGGTACAGCGGGCCTTTCAGCAGAACCTGCTCGCCATGACGGCCCAGCTGCCCATGAGCATTCGGATCAACAGCCAGGAGACATGTTCACCTGGTCAGTGCATCGGCAGGCTTTGCTGCTCTCCCAGCCCGCCCAGTGTGGGGCAGCTCTGGGAGGGCACCGGGGCAGAAGTGCCCCCCGGCCGTGCTTCCTGCTCCCATTCTTCAGTGTGGCCCCCAGTCGCTCGCGTGGCAGCCAGCCCCAGCAACTCTTCCTGACCCCACGGTTTCCAGGCCACGAGGAGAAGGGGACAAGCAGCCACACTGGGGAAGTGGGGGAGCCGCTTGCGGGGGCTGCCTGGGCAGGTGGCCAGCCACGCCTCGTGTGGGGCCAGGCTGGCGCCCCCCTCCCCCGGGCCTCCAGCCCTCCTCCGGGTGTCCGATTTCCTCTCCTGCCATCTGCTCGCTTCAGGAGTGAGCTGAGCCAAGGGGAATCCGCAGACTCCCGTGCAACTCCGGAGGTGCCCCTGCAACCTGCGTGCTTTGCTGATTCATTCATTCATTCATTCATTCATTCATTCATTCATTCCTTCCCACGCTTGTGTTCTGCCAGCAGTTCTGGCAGGGAATTGCTGGGCGGCTGGCAACAGTCATCAGAACGCAGTTCTTAAAACAATAAAAACATCTTGTAAAAGCATCATCATAAAACACCCACGGCATCGAGGCCATTTACAAATGTGACGAGTTAGAAGGGCACCATTAGCGTTAAATGTTACGATCAGTTGTTAAAACGTCTGGTAAAAAATGGTTTTTCTTGGTGCCGAAGAGACAGTAATGTTGGCGCCAGGCAGATCTTGCTATTCCATGGTGTGGGGTCTCACCATCCCACGAAAGGGATGGCTCTTTTAGAAGGACCTCCTGTGCAGAATCTTAATCTTGCGCCACAAAAACAAAGGCCACAGGTCTTGGGCGCGGAAGAGGCATGCCGCTTGCACAGGGCTTGCTTCCTGGCGGGCACCTGCGTGAACATGGGATGCGCTCGCCAGGAAAGCAGACTCGCAGCTCTGAGAAGGTAGGCTAGTGTCCAGGAAACTGGGGGTTCCAATGGATTCCCGCCCGAAAACAGATTTCTCACACCTTCCCTAGCATAGGGGAGCTAAACAGCTGTCACTTGGATGCTGTGGCAGCATCTTGAAGCGAAAAACTATCTGGGAGGGGGCCATGCATTCTCTGGTGGGCCCACCTTACAGGGTTGTTGTGGGGGGTCCTGGAGCAGAGAAGTGCTTGGGGCTCCTCACAGGAAGGAAAAAGAGGGGCTATGAATGCAATGAAATTCCATGTTTCCCAGAAAATAAGACCAGGTCTTATATCAATTTTTGCTCCAAAATATGCACCAGGGCTTATTTCTAGGTGAGGTCTTATTTTTGCCTGTACAACAATCTACATTTATTCATGTACAAAAATCTACATTTATGCAAATGCAGTCATGTCATCTTCTGGAACATCGTCCTAACGCTCCAGACCCCGAATTGTGTTGCAGTGGACATACTAAATGTGTCCGTCTGGCTGACGATCATAACTGGGGCTTATCTTGGGGGTAGAGCTTATATTACGAGCATCCAGAAAAATCGTGCTAGGGCTTATTTTCTGGCTAGGGCTTATTTTCGGGGAAACAGTAATAGCAACAGCAATAATAAAGCTGTCCGGACATCAGGGCCTTCTCTCCGAACCCTCATTTCTTCCCTCCCAGAAAACCGCCAAGACGCTGCCATGAACCTGACAACAAACGGAACCAACAGCATCAGCATGTCAGTCGAACTCAACGGCATCCTGTACACAGGTATTGGAGGGCTATACCACATGGGGGACCCCGGCTGCTCTGGGCAGGGATGGGGGTCTCCTGCCTGCTTTCAAACCGTGGAGGGTCGGCCAGTTTTGAGGCTAGGGGCATTTGGCCATAAATGCAACAGACTGAGGAGAGATTAATGAGGCCTTCCTGGCAGCACAGAATTTCCTTGGGCTCAACCGTTCTGTGCCAGCACTTTTAATGTTCAAGATCGTGTTGAAGATCCAACATCCCTGAGTGTGTTTATGCCAGCTGTCCCTGTGTAGCCCAGCCTTAATTAGAAGTCTATACCTTACAGATCAATAGATAGGATATATTCTAGGTGTTTGTTTGTTTGTTTACAATATTTATCCCCTTTCCTATACACAAAAGTGTCTCAGGGCGGCTTACAAAATCAAAGCAAACAATCCGGCAGATTTGCAATAATTTATTTATTTATTATTTATTTAAATCTTTTGTATGCCGTCCCTTATGCATGGCATCTCAGGATGGCTTACAGTCCTTAAAATTGAAATACAATAGAACAACATATCTATAAATAAATAACATAGTACAATGAAAATTTAAATCAGAATCTAAAGTGACTGCTAAAACATTAAAATATTAATGTTTAAAAAGACAAAAAGGTTTTGACCTCGCACCAAAAAGAATATAAACTCGGTGCCAGGTGTACCTCTCCAGGGCGCACATTCCACAGTCGGGGTGCCACTGCAGAGAAGGCCCTACCCCGAGTAGATGTCCTTTTTACCTCCTTCAGGGAAGGTTCCCGGAGCAGGGCCTCCCTCGCTGATCTTAAGGGGCGTGAGGACTTATAAGGGAGGAGGCGTTCCTTCAGGTATCCTGGTCCCAAGCCGTTATTTTATTTATTTATTTATTTATTTATTAAAACATTTCTGTGCCGCCCCTTGCCGAAGCCTCGGGGCGGCTCACAACATTGAATAAAATACACAATAAATTAAAACAATAACAATTAAAATTTATACAGTAGAATAAGCCGCCCTGGCCAAATAAAATTCAATAATATTAACATTTAAAGTGCTGCTTAAAAAAAAAAGGTCTTCATCTGGCGCCAAAAAACAAATAACGACGGTGCCAGGCGGACCTCTCTGGGGAGCGCATTCCATAACTTAGGCGCCACCGCTGAGAAAGCCCTCCTCCGAGTACCCACCCTCCTTATTTCCTTCACTGAGGGCTCCCGGAGGAGGGCCTCTCCCACTGATCTCAGGGGGCGGCTGGGCATATATGGACATAAGCGCTCCTTCAGGTAACCAGGACCCAAGCTGTTTAGGGCTTTATAGGTCATCACCAACACCTTGAATTGTGCCCGGACTTCAATGGGAAGCCAGTGAAGCTGCCGGAGAACTGGAGTCATGTGAACATAACACCCAGTTCCCGTCAGCAGCCTGGCAGCTCTATTTTGAACCAATTGAAGTATCCGGACCGTCTTCAAGGGCAGCCCCACGTAGAGCGCATTGCAGAAGTCAAGACGGGAAGTCACCAGTGCATGAGTCACTGTTGCGAGGCAGTCGTACTCCAGATAGGGGCACAGCTGATGAATCAGGCGAAGCTGGAGGAAAGCGCTCCTCGCCGCTGCTGTTACCTGAGCTTCGAGTGAAAGCTCCGGGTCGAGGAGCACTCCCAAGCTGCGGACCTTATCCCTAGGAGGGAGTGCAACCCCGTTCAGGACAAGGTTCAATTCACCTTCTCCGAAGCCTGAACCGCCTACCAACAGGACCTCTGTCTTGTCTGGATTGAGCTTCAGTTTATTGGCCCTCATCCAGCCCATTACCTCAGCCAGGCACCGGTTCAGTACAGCCACTGCCTCACCTGGATTGGTGGAAAACGAGAGGTAGAGCTGGGTATCATCAGCGTACTAGTGACTCCACAGCCCACACCTCCTGCTGACCTCTCCCAGCGGTTTCATATAGATGTTAAACAGCAAAGGGAACAAAATGGAGCCCTGTGGTACTCCATGGCATAGCTGCCATGGCGCAGAGCCACAGTTCCCCAGCACCACCTTCTGGAATCGGCCGCTGAGATAGGAGCGGAACCACTGCAAAGCAGTGCCTCCGACCCCCAATCCCGCAAGCCTATCCAGAAGGATACCATGGTCGATGGTATCGAAAGCTGCTGAGAGGTCCAGAGAAGCAACAGGGACCCACTCCCCGTCTCTCTCCCTGAACAGGTCATCATACAGGGCGATCAAGGCAGATTCAGTACCATCTGAAACTGGACTGAAATGGGTCCAGATAATCAGTCTCATCCAAGAGTGCTTGGAGTTGTCCCACCACCACCCACTCTAACACCTTGCCCAGAAACGGGATGTTGGCCACTGGTCTATAATTAGTGGCCAACTCTGGATCCAGTGATGCTTTCTTCAGGACCAGTCGGACTACCGCCTCCTTTAAAGGGGCAGGCACTCGACCCTCCCTCAGAGAAGCGTTAACCACTTCCAAGATCCAGGTCCCAATCCCGTGCTTGGAATTATTTATTAACCAAGACGGGCAAGGGTCCAATAGGCAAGTGGTGGGACGTACTGTCCAAGCACCTTGTCCACATCATCGGGCCGCAATAACTGAAATTCATCCAATAATTCTGGACCAGATGGCAGCACTGGCGTCTCCCCAGAAACCTCTAATTCATTAGTGGTGTCCAGCTCGTGACGACTCTGAGCGATTTTCTCCCTGAAATGCCTGGCAAAGTCGTCACAGCGGGCCTTTGAAGGTGGAACCGGATCTTCCTTAGGACCCGGGCGAACCAGGCCTTGCACCACTCGAAAAAGCTCCGCCGGACAGCATTGTGAGGAGGCAATGGAAGTGGAAAAAAACTTCTTTTTCGCCACCTCCACCACCACAGCATAGGCCCGATAGTGGGCTCTCAAGTGTGTTCGATCAGATTCATCCCGTGATTTCCTCCACCTGCGCTCTAGCCGTCTCCCAACCTGCTTCATCGCCCGCAATTCAGGTGTATACCAAGGGGAAGAGCGGGCTCTGCCCGGTGGGAGAGGACACTTAGGAGCAATCATGTCCACAGCCCTGGTCATCTCCTCGTTCCACAGTTCGACCAGAGCCTCGACAGGAGCACCAGTCTTGTCAGCCGGAAACTCCCCCAGGGCTTTCAGGAATCCATCCGGATCCATCCAGCTCCAGGGGCGGACCCACACAATCAGATCTGCACCCTTACAGAGGGAGAGATCGCTCTCGAGCACAAATCTCACCAGGAAGTGATCTGACCATGACAGGGGTGTCAGACAAAAATTCCTCACCCTCAGGTCACCCTCTTCCTGCCCCGTCGAGAAAACCAGGTCCAGAGTGTGTCCACGTTCATGGGTCGGGCCAATGACGTGTTGAGACAGCCCCATGGCCGTCATGGAGGCCATGAAGTCCTGAGCCGCTCCAGTCAGATCAGACTCGGCATGGAGATTGAAGTCCCCCAGGACCAACATCCTGGGGGTCCTCAACGCCAGGTCCGAGACGGTCTCCGTCAGCTCAGGTAGGGAGACTGTTGGGCAGAAAGGTGCACGGTGCACCAACAGAATCCCCAATCTGTCTCGGTCGCCCAACACCAAGTAGAGGCACTCCAGCCCTGGCCTCGAAGGGACCGGAAGTCCTGTGAGGGAGATGGAGGCTCGGTAAACTAAAGCAACCCCCACTCCCCTCCAGGCATGAATGGTGCTGGACCAGATACCCGGGCGGGCACATTTGAGAGAGGGCGACATCGCCCCCTCTCCTGCCCAGGTCTCCGTTATGCAAGCCAGGTCGGCCCCCTCATCCACAATCAAGTCATGGATGAGGGAAGATTTATTATTGATCGACCTGGCATTAAGCAACAGCACCGTCAGGCCCGAGGGGCGACTGACAAGACTCCCTGGCACCCTCTGGCTGGGGGCAGAACCAGAAAGAGGGACAGGTGTCAGCCATCTGTCCCTCCTTCTTCTGTGCGGACACGTTAAGCTCCCACCGCTGTTACGTCCTCTGCCCATCACCACCCCAGTGGCCGCGCCGGTACGCTCCCCAGGAAATGCAAGTGGCAGCATGGCCAGGGACGACTCCATAAAACAATATAAACACTATAAAATTATAAAAACATTTTAAAAATTCAGCACTCAGCAGGAGGGCCTAACACAGCGAGAGTGAAAGCCCCCTGGCCAGCCCAGCCCCCCACTCGGCCCCCCACTCGGCCCCCCCAAACGGCGACCGCCCTTTGGCCGATGCCCTTCGGCCACCGGCCCTGGCTGCCGCCGGCGCTTTCAAGCCGCCGGGCTCCCGACGCCCCGCCTCGGCTGGCACGCCTCCAATGCGTGCAGGGGCGTGGCAGAGCAGCCAGGTGGGTGCTGGAACGGCGGAGCGGTGCGGAGTGGCGCGGTCTACGCGGCGTAGGCTGGGGCGCAGTAGTTCTTCTCCGGCGTCGACTGCCGGGGCGCAGTTGTTTAGTTGTTAATTAAATAGTTAAAATGCACATAAAACCAATAACTTATCACAAATGAAGGAAAATCAAAACAATATCAAAATCAAGAATAGAAACAAAATCAAAAATCAAAAAGTGACTGGGAAGTTAAAACCTGATTAAAATTCCTAACATATAAAGTGATGGGCAGATAAAAAGTTTTTCACCTGGTGCCAAAAGGAATATAAAGTCTGCGCCAGGCGAACCTCCCTGAGGAGCAAATTCCAGAGTCTGGACACCACCACAGAGAAGGCCCTGCTCCAGGTAGATTTATTTTTTAACCACCTTCAGGTAAGGTTCCCAAAGCAGGGCCTCTCCCATTGATCTTAAGGGGCGTAAGGGCTAGGTAGGGTTGTAGGTCTGTATTTTTATTGCTTTATGATGGATGGACCCTGTTTTGCAATGCACCAGCGTTGCTGTTTGGGTTGAAAACACTTTTCCTGGAAAAAGACCCTTTGAAATGATGGAAGTCTTGCAAAAGAGCACTCCTCAAAAGAGATTTTCATTAATATACAAAATCAGAAGAACCATAGCTAAATAGACTGAGGCATGTGACAGGCTAGTCCATGTGTCATCAAATTTATTTGTTTATTTTTGAATTTGTATACTGCCCACTAATCCAAAAGGATTCTCTAGGCAGCTTACAATAAAATAGTAAAAGCACAACAATAAAACCAATTATATATAAAATCACAATAAAATTAAGCGATAGAATACTGTGATAGCGTCAAAGTAAGCAGGGCAACAGGCGTCAGAATAAATAACATATTGCAATTCAGTTCTTAAAATTATTCAGAGATAAGAAATGTTTTTGCCTGTGCTGAAACAAAGTTGGTGCCAGGCAAATTTATTCAGGGAGCTTCTTCCAGAATTGGGGGGCAACCACCAAGAAGGCCTTGCTTCTATTTACCATCCCCTTTACCTCCTTAAATGCCTGGAGGTGGAGGAAAGGCTTTACCTGGCATCCAAAAGATGACAGAATTTTCCCCTGCTGTGGGACAGCCCCTGAGAAGGTGGTCCTGCCTTGTTCCAACTCTGGAAATGTTTCTCAGAAGAGGGTTTCCAGTGTTGTTTGCAGCCTACTTATGAGTAGATCCCTCTATAGGGCCTTGACACGCAGACAAGGCCCTGCAGAAAACCAGCACTGTGAATTGGTATAGGTTCTCTGTGCAGGTGGGCCAGAATCAGCGCTCAGACCTGTCAGTGATCCTATACAGGCCTTGGGAGCTGTGCTCAAATTATTCATTTATTCATTCATTTATTAAAAGCTTTTCTATCCCGTTCCCCCAAATGCCTCTGGACAGCTTACAATAGATAAGTAAAATAAAACAAACGCCACAGCACCCAACTATTAATATTCTAAAATTATAGTTTTAGTATATTAGTAGTATATTTAGTATATACTATATTTAGTAGTATATTTAATATAGAGACCTTGGGGAAGAAACTCAGGGACCTAAACTCAGGGACCTCTGTCTTGCCAGATTTGGGCCAGGCAGGGACAGGAGGGTCACCAAGGTGAACGACTGGCTTAGGGTGCGGTGCCAGAAGGAACGCTTCAGGTTCCTCCACCATGGCATTTGTTTTCTTGCCAATGGACTTCTGGCAAGGGATGGGTTGCACCTCACGAGGATGAGGAAAAGGTCCTTTGGAGACGCTCTAGCGAGCTTCGTCCGGAAGACTTTAAACTGAGTCAGGGTGAGGGGTCGGGCCCCCCAGAAACGTGTCTGCATTGGACAAGTGTGGGGAGAGGATCAGGGCTCTGGGACAGGGTCTTAGAGGTCTTGCAGGGACTGACAGGACTCCTTCAGAGAGGGGCCAGGTATCAGGAGGATGGGAGGCAGGAGGAGGCTGGGGACTCCAAGGAAAGGGAGCGGTGGGAAGGAGTTGGGGTGCATGTACACCAATGCTAGGAGCAAGGGTAACAAGCAGGAAGAGCTGGAAGCTCTCCTGGGAATGGGAGGGTCTGACCTGGTGGGGATCACGGAAACCTGGTGGGATGAAAGGCAAGACTGGAACGTGAACATAGAGGGGTATCACCTTTTTAGAAAGGACAGGAAGGGAAAGAGAGGTGGGGGCGTAGCTTTATACGTCAGGGAAGGGATAGGATGCAGAGAGATAGAATGCAGCACAGATGGGGATTTGGCAGAGGCAGTCTGGGTGAAACCTGGGGCCGTTCCTGTTTAATCTTTTCATAAATGACTTGGAAGAAGGGGTGACCAGTCTCTGATCAAATTCGCAGACGATACTAAAACTGGAGCAGTGGCCACAACTGAGGAGCAGGTACTCCAGATCCAAAAGGCTCTGGACAGACTATGGAAGTGGGCAGGAGACAACAGGATGGCGTTCAATGTTGATAAGTGTGAGGCCTTGCACTTGGGGCATAGGAACGGGTGTCACAAGTACAGGTTAGGTGACAAGTGGCTGGAGAGCAGCACTTGTGAAAGGGACCTTGGGGTGCTGGTTGACTGCAGGCTGAACATGAGCCAGCCGTTTGATGCGGTGGTCAAGAGGGCGAACGCCACCCTTGGTTGCATAGCCAGAAGTGTGGCTTCTAGATCGAGAGGGGTATTACTGCCACTCTACACGACTCTGGTGCACCCGCAACTGGAGCATTGTGCTCAGTTTTGGGCCCCTCATTACAGGAAGGATATAGCCAGGTTGGAGTCAGAGCAGCGTTGGGTCACAAGGTTGGTGGCCGGTTTGCAGGGGTTGCCGTATGAGGCGAGACTGAGGGAATTGGGTCTCTTCAGCCTGGAGAAGAGGAGACTCAGAGGGGACCTGTTGGCGACATACAGGTGTGTGAGGGGTGTCACACGGAGGTGGGGAGAGACCTGTTCTCCCCTGCAGAGGAGGGCAGGATGCGCTCCAACGGAGCAAAGCTCAGGGAACCAGGTTTCATTTGGATGCCAGGAGGCACTTCCTGACAGTCGGGACCCCAAGGGTGTGGAATGGGCTTCCAGGGGAGGTGACTGAGGCCCCATCGGTGCGGGTGTTCAAGGACGGGCTGAACATGCACATGGTGGGCACGTCGTGAGGGTAGCTGGCTGGAGCCGGGGGTCAGACTAGATGGCCCAGGAAGATCCTTCTGACTCGCTCTGTTTGTAGGTTTCTGTTTCTGAAACCCCAGTTAATATCAAACATTAGAATAGCGGGAAAATAAAAAGGGATTTTGCCTGTCACTGAAAAGAATATAATGTCAGTGCCAGGCGAACCTCTCTGGGGAGTATATTCCATAGTCGGGGTGCCAGGTACTCTCCCTCCTAATCTCCTTCAGGAAGGGCTCCCGAAGCAGCCTCCACCTCAGGTCCCAAGGGCTGCAAGGGCACATGGGGAAGAAGGCATTCCTAGCATCCCCAGCCAGCCATGCTTCCATGGGGACACGGGGAGCTGTACTCCAGCTGCCTTAAGAAAGCTGCCTTACTTATTTATAAATTTCTTAATTTTATATCCTGTTTTTCCCTTTCAAGGAGCACAGGCCAGCTTGCATAATTACCCTCTTCCTCTCCATCTTATCCCACCACAACCCTGCGAGGTAGGCTGGGCTGAGAGTCTGTGACTGGCTCAAAGTCACCTAGTCTGCTGCGTGGCTGAGCAGGGACTGGAACCCCGGACCTGCCGAGTCTCAGTGCCATGAGCATCTCCCAGTCCACCTTCACACACGTGCGGCTAAAAGGATACAGCGTTTTTCACTAGTGCTGGCCCTAACACATACAGGCACAATCACGGAAGAGGCTTCCCTGATCACAGGAAGATGGAACATGTCCCATCTAAGATGGGGCCAGCCACGTGGCAGTCTTAATAAGCGTCTGGAATGCTGATAGATTCTAATTTTTAAAAATTGCCCTGTTAACGAGGGAGACCTTCTTAGTCTACCTGGTAAGGGAGGCACCAGCGAGATCAGACTCTCATGATCCAACATGATGCTGTAGAGAACCCAGGGCTTGGGGAGAGGAATGTGAAGGGTCTGGTGTCATGGCAGCTGTGGGGCCATCACACACTAGTTTTGTTTCCTCTCTCTCCAGGCATGTTGTTTGCCCAAACTCCAGGAGCGCCATCCTCTCTCGGCAAAGGAGCCCCCACCAGGGGGCGAAGTTCCGGTGGCCCCAGCAGCGGTCCCGGTGGCCCCACGAGTGGCGTGGTGGCCACTCCACAAGCTGGGCTGCCCTGTGCCCCAACCTCTACCTCAACCAGCTCTTCGTCGCCTTAAGATCCTTCTCTTTCTCCTCCTCCTCCTCCATCCACCAAAATGAAGACCCAGATCAGATATTAAGAGAAAGCCCAACTTAGGTGATCCTGGTGTGCACTGGGGGAGTGAAATCATGCCTTCCACACCCTCCAATAGTTCCAGTTTTCTCTCCCTGAGCAATACCCTAGAGTAGTAATTTCCACAGTGGGGGAGGAAGCACTCCTACTTCCTGTGTGTTCGCCCCAGGTGAGCATAGTGCCTACTAACAGACATCTAGTGTGTCAAAAGCAGAGCCCGCAGTCCAGAAAGTCGCGATTGTGGCTCTCCATCCTCTCTGTACAAGCGTGTGCATGCCCACACTCTCTCTGCATGCAGGGACTAGTTGAGGGCCCAAGCTGCGCCAGAGAGATCAGATCACATCCTTCCAGCGGTAGCTTCTCCTCAAAAATGGAACCAAAATTGTCACTTACTTTCCACGAAGGGGAAGATGAGATACCCAGAGATGAGCTTTCTCCCTTTCCTGCTGCTTTCCTCCTCCCTCCCCTTCCTTGATATTCTTCTTTAAATGAATATATTGAAAGGAGAACAGAGAATTTTTCACGGGGGGGGGGGGCGGGCGAGGGTGTCATAAAACTCTGAGCCAGGGAAAACACTGTGCAGTTCACGTTTCGCTGTGGTGCGTGGCACACCTGTATTACTTTACCTCTTGTGAATCCACACTTTGCACTGTGTGTCTGTTAATTTTTTAAAATTACTTCTGGATACCTCCAGGCAGGTGGTGGGCAGCAGAGGTAACACAGCAGATGGGTGCATCGGAATAAAGCTCTTAATTAAAATCAGCAGCAAAAGCTTTTACCAAATGTGGGCAATGAGCATGGCAGGGCAGAGAGAAGCTTTAGAATGTGTGTGCGTGTGTGTGTGTGTTTATTTTCCAAACTGCTGTCAGAGTGAAGAAGGAAAATTGTTGAGTAGGTGGGATCAATGGTTTTCCCCCTTCTCGGAGTGGAACCAGAAAATCCGATAAAGCAGATTCTGTGTACTTCCATTTCATCTTCTCATCCGTGATGGTGCTTCGGGATTCCGTCTTTTTCTTTCTTTCCCTTTCTGCCTCTGCCCCAAAATTTGGTAGCTCAGGTAGTTGTATCTCTGGGGAAAGCAGGGAATGAGTGTTACGGTAGCATTGCAATGGATTGTATTTTTGTATGGAGCTGGCCCCCTGTGAGTGTTGTGTACTTGTGTGTGTGTGTGTGTTTAGTGTGTGTGAATTGGAAGGGGAGGCATGCTGGTCTTCTAACCCTCTGACCCCATTTTGTGCAATCCCAGAAGATCTTGTTCCCTTTTATTATGGTGTCATCAAACACCACAGGTGCTTGTACGGTTGGCTTACGTTAAAAGCCACTTTTAACTGGCCTTTTAACTGATGGCTTACAGTTGGCTTTTAACTGAATTTCAGTGGCCTTTTAACTGATCTTTGTGAAGTTTGGTCCCAGGCAAGCAGCAGGGAACACAATTTTAAGAATGGCTTCCTTCAAAGCACATGTGTTTCTCCCTTCTTTCGTAATTCTGCACACTTAGGGCTTCAGAGACGTATCCTGAAGCATGCGAATGGGGAAGTTAAGTGTTTTTCTCTCTTGGATTTTGGCAATGCTCTGGGGACACTTCCCAGAGATGATCCAAAGTTTATTTCCGTGTATGTTGCCCATGCCCCCATTCCTGCCATCTAAATGCACCCCATCCTCTGTAATCAATCATGAAACAGCTTTCCCACAACCGTGTACTTGTTCGGGGGTCGCTGTTTTCCCTCTCTGCGCTGGTTTTAATTTCTCACTGGGGGAAACAGTCCAATTTCTGGAGGGGCCCACATTTCCCCCCTGGGGAGAACCACTCCAATTTGGCTGCAGGACTCATTTCGTCCAGCACAGTGAAGAAGTGCCTGCTCTGTCCTGAAGTGGGGTGGGGGGTGTCGCTCCCTTTTCTGGGATTAGTCCTGCCAAGACTGTGGGTGCTGCAGTTGGGAAGCGCAGATCTCTCGACTGTTCGCTTCCAGGGTGAATTATGATGCTTTAAGAGGAAGGGCATCTGCTTTGGTACACGCACAAATGCAAAGCAGCATCTTGTTCAACCGCAGAAATATATCATCGAATACCCTGAGCTGGTGGGTGAAGCATTTTGAGGACAGCAAAGCTTAAAGCGATTTTCCCCAGCCCAAGTGTTTTCCTCAGCTTGGCCAGAGTGCAGCGTAACATCTTCATCAGCGTTTCTGGCTGGGGAGGATGGGACTTGCTGTCTAATGCATCTAGAAGTTTAGCTACCCCGTGAAGAGCTGGGCAGAACTGTCCATATACTGCCGCCACCCTGAAATTGGCTGCGGTGGAGTCTTGAGGGCTACAGTGGATCAAGGATAAATAACGGACAGCTGCCGGCCAGCCCAGAAGTGGAATTAATGGTTGGGGGGAAGGTACTCTGCTTCCACGGATCCTTCACATCTTAAACAGTTTGTCCCAGAGGGTCTAACTGATCAGGCGAACTCTTGTGAAGAAGGGGTACAGATGTGCCTTAGCTATTAAAGGGATGACACAATCGCACGCTGGCTGCAGCCGAGCCGGTTGTGGGAAGTAGAAGGAAGCCCTTTCTTGCCCTCTGTGTAACATCGTCCGTTTTGAATACTGACCCCTCCACCATCGCTTTTCGAGGTTGCATTTTGGGATCTGCAAAGCCTGCTTCACCATCCCCTCCCCAGGGAAAACCACAGCAGGGTGTCCTCTTTACAGAGGTACGACTCTCTTCTGAAAGAACCTTTTCAGTGAGCAGCCGCCTTTGTATACACGATGGCTGAACCCAAGAAGGACAGTACGTAATTATCCATAGTTGGCATTCCGTTTGGACTGTAGAAAACACTTCATTAGCTTCAGAACAAACCAGGATATTAAACCATCTTTACAGCATGGTTTTGGAGCCAGTAACTACGCTTTCCTCAGCTTGTACTAAATGTGAAATGCATTAATGAGAAACATCCTGATTTGATAGTCAGTGGACTGTGAAGGAAGTTTGTCCGCACCAGGAAAAGAAAGGACTTGTGATAGTCCTTGCTTAATAAGCCAATATTTGATCGTTCAGATGGCCAAACATTAAATGCCATCCTATTCACTCATTTCAGCAGCTTTTTGCCTGGCAACAGTTGTATTTCGACACCGACCTTTACTCATCTCTTCCTCTCAAGTAAGAGTTGCCAACCCTGCAAATTTAGACCAATAAAAGGGCTACATCTGCAAGCAGGCCCAGCACGAAGAAGTTGTAGGCCTTTCCCCCCATCTAAATGCATAAAATTGGACCTTTCTCTTCTGATTGTCTGTTAGCATGTGAATATTGGTGGTGGTGGGTAGTTCTCTGAATTTCCCCATCTGGATAGAATATGTTTTTAGTGTACGGGTGGAAAAGAAAGATTCTATATCAAAATTTTATATAAAAATATATGAGTATATATATAAAATGAGTGTGTGATTTTGAGAGCAGTGTGCGCTTAAAAAACATGGTATAAACTTTATTTTTCAGTCCAAGCTTTTGAGGAAGGGTTGGATTTAACTCAGGGGAATCAAACCTGCTGTCTGGATTGTGACTGTTCTTGGGGGTGGCGTGTGGGTGGGGAGGTTAGGAGGGCTGCAGAAAAAAGCAGATTTGCTCCCTGTGGCCCATGAATTGAGCTGTTGGAGGTGGGGGGCATCCGAGGCTGATTCCGTGTTGTCTTGCCAGCCCTCCAGTTGGTTCTTGATGCTTCCAGCAATCAGCAAGGGACTCCCTCGCCAGAAATGCTGGGGACACCTCCACGCATGCTCTTTCGTTGGAAGAGATGGACAAGTTAGCTTGGGGACCCTGGTCTGAGGGGCAGGAAGGTGGTTAGGGTGGCCTTTAATCAGCTAGATCCTAGAGGAACATTCCAATTTTGGAAAGGGGTTTGGACACGGTGCGTTGGCACCTTGGGTGCAGGGCGAAACATTTCTTTGGGACTCGAAGGGGAGAGGGGCAGCCCCGGGAAAAGACCCTGCCTGCTCCCCAAATTTCTTCCTTTTTTGTATCGAAGACAGAGGCCCTCTAAAGCTTGGGCTTGATCTGAGAACCCTGTGCTGAGTAGGATATAACAGCCTGGAAAAATATCATGGGCTCGGAACACGAGGAGTGCAACTATGTGGAGATCAGCTAATAAAACTCGTTAGGTCTCCGTCGGGAGCTGTTTTCCCCGGCCCCTCTCCGCCCCTGCAGATGCCTGCCCTCTTCGGAGTTCTTGTGCTTCCACCACATCTCCAATTCCCACCTTGTGTTAAACTGGTCTCCATTTTATGGAGGCAGCGCAGAGACTTCAGACTGGCTGAACCCCCAGTCAGACTTTGTCTTGGGGTGGTGGTTGTTGTTGGGTTAACTTAATTCTCGCGCAGAGGGATGTGGGATGGATGGCTTTAGTTAGTAATCCATGGGGTGCTTTTGTTGCATTTGTTCAAACACTGTGTTTTGGGGGGTGGGGGTCTGATTTTTTGGAGGGAAGAGAGTACAACCTCACCCTCTTTCTTTGCATATCAACTTTAAGATGTAATTTCACTTTTTCTCGGGGGTTTTGGAACCGAAATATGGCAAGGGTAAGCAATCTGTACAGCAAACGTAGTTTTTTGACTCAGGAAATAAATAAAAGTAGTAAAAGAAACCATATTCTACCTCTGAAAACAGAGGTCTTGAGCTGCCTTTTGTCTCCGGGCCTCTGTGTGTTTTTTGTTTTGTTTTTCCTTTTTTGTTTTGTTTTTGAAAAAATCACTTTTTTCACAAAACATTCAGGTATTAGCCTTTTGTGACTTAAGAGAGAAAAAACACTGAAAAGTTTACATTTTATAACATTATTATTACAAATTGTATTTAAACTTCAGAAATATTTAAGATGATTGTAACCGTGTAAAGTTGAAGAAATAATTAAAAGAAGAAAAAGATGCTTGTAAAGTTGTGTGTCCCCCCTCTTTCTCTCTCTTTTTCACTCTTTCTCTCTCTCCCTCCCTCTGTGCACAAAGCGTGCACTTTGTGGTGCTGTGCTGTGTTGTTTTGTGCTGTGTTGTGTTGTGTTGTTGTGTTGTGCCATGCTGTGCTGTGTTGTGTTTTCGCTTTCAGTCACAGTAAACACAGCTGATGTCTCATACTGTTAGGGTTTTACAGGGAGCCTTATGAACAAAATGCAAAACGAACCCTCTGCTGACATGAAGAAACTAGGTGAGCTGGTTGCCAAGCTCTTTGATTGTGGTTGTGGCACTGAGTGTTGAGTGCTACAAAATCAAGTCTCCATGCTGTTCCTCCGAGACCAAGATGAGGGTGAATAAAGTGAAGGAAACAGAGGAAAACAGGGTTGCTCTTGAGCATGCTTGGCAATGCTGTTTGTTTGTTTGTTTGTTTAATTTATAGGCCGTCCATCACTCGTCTCTGGACGGCTTACAGAATATTATAAATCCTAAACAAAATGAATTAGCTATACCATGAACTGAGCATAAAATGTTTTCAAAAAGATGGCCTTCAAAGAAGCAAGGAGCAGGCCTTCTGGGCAAGGTAAGGAGCACCTGCAGACTATTTTTAATCACCTTAAGATGGCAGTGTACCTGTGAATCTCAGGTATAATCCACAGCTCAGCTGAGGATGAGCAGGCTGCCATTTGGGCATGAGAGTTTGTGGCCAAGAAGCACACACCTGGTCCAATAGTGCTTTCGCAGGTAACTGATTGATTCTTCAGTCCCTAATTGCAACCTCCACCTGGCACATGCAGTGGAAACAGACATCATGTGAGGTGTACAAATGACTGTGGTAAGGCACCTCCCGCTGCCAGGAACATGAGACTGCTGTGCCACATGACAGAGAAACGGAGGTTAGCACGGGGGATCGGGAAACCGAGGAAATTCGGGAACTGCCTCTGCCAATCCTGGAGCGGCTCTCCAGCCGAAAAGTAGCTCTCCCATCCTGCATTCCCTGGGACTTAAGATGGAGATTCCTTCTGAATGGAAATCATGTGCTTGACTATGGAATGCAACAGGTTTTAAAAATCAAAATTAAGATTCAGGAGCAGTGTGGGGCATGGGATTGGGAAATGGGGACATAGAAACGGAGAGCAAGTCAGAAGGGGTCTCCCAGGTCCTCTAGTCTGATCCCAGCTTCACTCATGACATGCCTGCCATATGCATGGTGGGAAAAAACGCTGGGGGAAAAGCAATGGGCAGGTTCTAATGCCAGGTTGAACAACCTAATGAGGGTGCATTGAAGGGAGCCCCCAGAATAAGGGAATATTCTGCCAAATAGACAAAAGGGTATATTGGGAGGAGGAGGCCCATTGCAGGAGGATTCTTTGCAAGGCTAAGGCTGACTACGAGCTGGGACTTGCCAAGAGCAACAAAAAGGGCTTCGTTCAGCAGGTGAAGGGGAGAAAAGTAGTGGGATCACTAAGGAGGAAGGAGATCCAGTGACTGATGCGAGGGAACAGGCACAGATGCTAAATGACTATTTTGCCTCTGTGTTCTCCCCAAAGCAGGACGGGGGAGATCTGCATAGGAGATTAGATGAGGCCGGGGACTTAGGGGCACAGACTAGAGTCACCCCCCTAGAAGTCGAGGGGCTCCTCAGGGCATTGGACATTACAAAGGCGCCAGGCCCTGACAGGTTACACCCGAGAGTATTCGAGAGTTGGCAGGGGTCCTCTCATGCCTGCTGGCCTCCATCTTTGAGACCTCGTGGAGAACGGGAAGTTCCAGAGGACTGGAGGGTGTCGTCAGTGGTCCCAATTTTCAGAAAGGGTAGTAGAAGGGACATGGGGAATTGCAGACCAGTAAGCCTTACGTCCATTGTAGGGAAAACAATGGAAAGGCTCATAATAGCGAGAGATCTAGTGATGCTAGATAGGGAAGGGAGGCTGATGGCCACACAACACGGCTTCCACAATAACAGGTCCTGCCAGACAAACCTTGTGGAATTGTATGACAAGGTTTCGAGGTGCCTAGATGGAGCGGATGATAGTGCCCCATGATAGCCTAGTTGAGAAACTGAGGAGTTTTGGGATGGACCAATGCATTGTCCAATGGATGATGGACCAAAAGCAGAGGGTAACCATTAGTGGGGAATCATCGGGATGGCAGCCAGTGACAAGCGGGGTCCCCCAGGGCTCTGTCCTGGGGCCGATCCTGTTTCATCTTTTCATCAATGACATGGAAGAAGGGGTGACCAGTCTCTGATCAAATTCGCAGATGACACTAAAACTGGGGCAGTGGCCACAACTGAGGAGCAGGTACTCCGGATCCAAAAGGATCTGGACAGACTATGGAAGTGGGCAGGAGACAACAGGATGGCATTCAATGTGGGTAAGTGCAAGGTCTTGCACTTGGGGCATAGGAATGGGTGTCACAAGTACAGGTTAGGGGACAAGTGGCTGGAGAGCAGCGCTTGTGAAAGGGACCTCGGGGTGCTGGTCGAATGCAGGCTGAACATGAGTCAGCCGTGTGATGCGGTGGCCAAGAGGGCGAACGCCACCCTTGGTTGCACAGCCAGAAGTGTGGCTTCTAGATCGAGAGAGGTGTTACTGCCACTCTACACGACTCTAGTGCGCCCACAACTGGAGTATTGTGCTCAGTTTTGGGCCCCTCATTACAGGAAGGATATGGCCAGGTTGGAGTCAGAGCAGCGAAGGGCCACAAGGTTGGTGGCCGGTTTGCAGGGGAAGCCGTATGAGGTGAGACTGAGGGAACTGGGTCTCTTCAGCCTGGAGAAGAGGAGACTCGGGATCTGTTGGCGACATGCAGGTATGTGAGGGGGTGTCACATGGAGGTGGGTAGAGGCCTGTTCTCCCCTGCAGAGGAGGGCAGGATGCGCTCCAGCGGAGTCAAGCTCATGGAACCAAGGTTCAATTTGGGTGCCAAGAAGCACTTCCTGACAGTCAGGACCCCGAGGGTGTGGAATGGGCTTCCACGAGAGGTCGTTGTGGCCCCATTGCTGAGGGTGTTCAAGGGTAGGCTTGACATGCACATGGTGGGCATGTTGTGAGTGGAACCGGCTGGAGCCGGGGGTCAGACTAGATGGCCATGGAACCCCTTCTGACTTGCACTTTTTCTATGTTTGTGAAAAATAAGCCACCCTCCAAAAGCTGCCAGGTTCACACACCATGGCTGCTTATCTAGGCTTGGTTCTCCTGCCCCACAATCTTGTTCAAGTCACCTTCACTCGTACATCTAATGGGGCAGTCAAGGACTTGTGGTAAGAAACAAACCCGCCCCGTGCCCAGATGTTTCTTAAAATGCTGCGGTCACGCAGAATTCCAGCACGGATTATTTTCAGGGAGCCCTTGAAAGACCAAAAGCGCAGTCCTATCGCTGGAGGATGCTGGCTGGCCATAGAAAATTTTGGGGTCTTCGTTCCAAACTTAGAAGCACGCTCCCAGGTTGGAGCTGGGACTCCCAAATTCAAAGCGGCCTGTAGCTCCAAGGTTTGAAGGCAAACCTGGCTTTTTTTTTTTTTTTTTTGCAGGGCCAAAATGCATGAAAGCCATCTTTGTCTTTGCACATCTCCCACCCTTAACAGGATAATACGTAATCTGAGTTTGTCCCCTGGATTGCACTTTGAAACATTTATTATGGCAAATGTTGTGATCCATGAAAATTTAGTCTTTAGGGCTCTCTCTGGGTGTATTTCATGTATCTCCCACACGTTACACCATCTCTCTCTTTGGCTGGATTGCATCTTGAGATCCAACTATTTAACTCATTTAACCCTTTATATGAGTTAAAGGGTTACGGAAGTGGAATTCTGTTTTAGTCCCTCCATTCTCTTCCTTTTGTAGCAATTTCCACACACTCCTCTGGAGAAGGTCTATGAGGTAGTGTCCTTTTTTCCAGATTTAAAACCAGGCAATGCATTTGTGATGTCTCTATCCTGTTTTACCTTTATGGAACATCCCAAGTAAGCTTTCCCTGATCCTTTTATTCTCACAACATCCATTTGCCATAATATTGTCCGAGACTGTGACCTGACCCAGGTCACCCAGGGAATATCCTGACTGACTAGAGATTTGGAGCAAGGCCTTTGCAAACACAGGAGACGTGATTCAAGCGTTGCAACGTGGAGGGAAAGGAGGGGTGAGAACAGGACTCTGTTAATGGGGAAACCTGGGAGACCTTACATGCTTAACAAATACATAAAGTTGTTTATCAGAGAGCCAGCATAGTCTTGAGAATGCTGAGAGCTGGGTTGAAATCCCCACTCAACCATGAAACTCACTGGGTGACTTCCAGCCAGTTGGACCCAACCTGACTTCCCTCGCAGGGTTGTTGTGAGGATCAAATGGGGTGGAGGAGGGTTCTGTAAGCTATCTGGCGTTAAGGGATGGAAAGAAATGGAAAGGAATGACAGCAGCCCTTTATTGCTTGAGTTTTTAATTGGTTTCTGTGAAATTCAGCTCAGGTTAACTGCAGCCTAAGCAAGGGGAAGAAAAGCAGGCTCAATAGTGAATATTTATTAGATTTATATCTCATCGTTATTCCTTGCAAGGAAGTCAAGGTGGTTTGCATAATTCTCCTCCCCCAAACTGCGTCCTTGCTGCAACAGCAGGTGAGGAAGGCAGGTCTGAGAATCTGTGGCTGGCCTAAGGTCTCCCTGTCAGCTCCATGACTGAGTGGGGACTCGAACCCAGGCCTGCTGAGCCCTGGACCTGCTCTGCCTTCTGCGAAAGCTCCAGCCAGGCCTGGGGCGTGGGCAATCTGGGTTCTGCGCAGGGCTGTTGGTGCGGGATAAGACTGGGCAGCAGGAAGAGAATTAAATCAGCAGTCCAGTGCTGTGCAAGAAAGAAGGCGAGATATAAATCTAATAATGAATGAATCCCACTTCCAGTCCTGCTTTTCCCATAATTCCCCATGGGCTGCCTTTACTTCCGCCCCGCAAGGAGGGGGACACAAGCGCCGCTCTCGGAGCGGCTCCACCTCCCCCGCCCCTCCCTCCCTCCCTGCCTGCCTGTCCGCCAAGTGACTTTTTCTGACCGCGCGCGGCCGCCGTAAGCCGCCTGCGTGGCCGCGCGTCCTGACGTCACATGTGACGTGATGTGCGCTTATCTTCCTCCCCGTCGGGGGGCGGGGGGAGCAGAGGGGAAGAGGAGGAGGAGGAGGAGGAAGAGGAGGAGGAGGAGGAAACAAGATGGCGGAGGCCTCCCCGCAGCCGGGACGGTATTTCTGCCACTGCTGCTCGGCCGAGATCGCCCCGCGCCTGCCGGTGAGTGAGCGGGCGAGTGAGGTGGAGGGGGCCGGGGGGCGGCTGCTGCGGCCTCCGGCCTCTCCCGATGCCTCCGGGGTAGACTGTCCCTGTCCAGGGAGGCTCTACACGGGGTAGCTGGCCAGGGCTGCTGGGAGTGGCGGCCCTGCGGGGCTCTCCGCCGCCCCACCTCAGACAGGGCAGCCTCTGTGCTGCGAGGTGGAGGGGCTTCTCAGCAGGAGCTGCTGCTGAAACGGGTAGGCTAGGGGTTCGTCTGGAGCCTGTGTTCCCCGGACGGGCGGCCCCCAAGAGCCTCCCCGCAGGGGAGCTGAGTCCTGGGGTCCGGAGGGACACCACGCCGCGCCTCATGGGCTTGGTGGCTGGGAGGTCCCACTCTCTGCTGCACCGTTTTCCTGTTTCTGGGCTCAGGCAGTGGCAAGAACGGCCCAGCTTTGGGCACACAGTGCGAGTGTTCCCAGCCTGTGGCCCTGCAGAGGTTTGGGACTACAGCTCCCATCAGCTGCATCCGGCAGGACTAGTGGGCAAGATTTATGGGAGTCCTGAGCCTCTGCCAGAGTTGGGAACAGGTGGTCCTCAATGTGCTGTTGGGCTGCACCGTCTCCCCCTTTGGCCATGCTGGAGGAGTTCCTTCTATGTATGGGGGGCACAGCTCCCCCCCCCCCCGCACCAGAGGCTATACACACCTGAGGATAGATGCGTCTCTCCTATAAGAACCACACTGCAAGAGCCCCTGGTGGAGCAGAACCACCTTGTCCAATTTCCTACTTCCCACCAAGTTGCCCACAAGCAGGGAACACATCCCAGAAATATGTAAGGTGGTCACACCTAGAGCATTGTCACATTTATGACTCTGCATCTTCACACATGCCAATGTTTGTTGGTTTATCTTGGTTCTTTGCAAACTGAACACAAACTAGTAATGTGATATGTCTGCTAAAAGCTTAATGCTTTCTAAAGCTCCGGAAAAGAATGGACAATGTTAACAGAAAGTTTTTGCTTTATAGCATTGGTTTTACATATATACACATGCACAAACACCCATGTAACACTTTACAAAGAAGAGGGATAACAGCTCCAAAACCCAAGGGATTCACAGTCTAAAATAGACACAGGAAAACAGTGGGGTAGAGGAAGAAAACAGAAGCATGGGTAAGCAACAGAAGACTATGTGATGATTCTAGTTTTAAGTGTAGCATCCACGTCATCAGAAGTAATAATTCTGTAATGTACCATTTAGACAGTATTTGGGGTGCTGTTTCCATCTGGGGACATTCCATGTTCAGAAGCCAATGAACAAGCAGGAGGGGACAAGGAAGTTCAGTGATTCGGAGTCCTACATTGAACGGTTGGCTACGCTTAGCCTAGCAGGTACAAGGCGAAAAGGGGATGTGCTCACAGTCTCCCAGTATCTGAAGGGCTGTCCTGCAGAAAATGGAGCAGACTTGTTGCTTCAGAGAAGTAGGACTAGTTCGAAAGGGTGGAACAGGCAGGGAAGTAGAGCTCTGCTAACTACGAGGACAAACATCCTGTGTGAGAGATGCTTGACAGTGGGATTGTTTTCCTTGAGAGTTGGCGAACTCTTCTTTAGTGGAGATATTTAAGAGGCCAGGGATGAATCTATCAGGGATGCTGTGTTTGCAACATTCCTCCACTGACTGGACAGCTGAGCCAGGTGACTTCCTAGCCCACTTTGAGCTCTTCCAACCTCTGCTTTTCTCCTGGTGTCCTGTCTCTTACATTTATTTATTTATGTATTTACATATATTTATAGTCTGCCTATAATTGCCGAGGCCTTCTTAGGCGGCTTACGATGTAAAACTTACCAACAGTAAAAACACATTAAAAATCAGTTAAAGCATAATAAATTAGACATCTATAAAAACAAGTTTAAAAAGGCCACAGCATACAGGCTAAACGTTTAAAAAAATCCTAAAAAGGTAAGTCTTTCCGAAAGGAGAATAGAGATGGCGCCAGGCGGATTTCCCTAGGGAGGGAGTTCCAGAGATGGGGGGCAGCCGCAGAAAAGGCCCTTCGGCTGGTTGCCCCCCTTCTCGTCTCCCTGCGAGTTCTATTTGAGGGTGATTTCTTTCCATCCTTGCTTGTTTGGGGTATACCATTCGGAGGCAAGCTACCTCTGATCAAGTATCCCCCCTCGCCCCATGTTAGCTTTTATGTCACTTAACCTTTGACAGCGCCCCTTCATTTAAAATCCTTTAAAAGGGTTCTTTTAAAAAAAGAAATAGGGACTCCCCCTTGTCAATTGCACTGGATGATCTCTACCTTTTGTACTGCGACTTTAATGTTGCCATCTTCGATGATTTTAAATCTTAGATGATTTAAATGCTCTAAGCTGCCTTGAGTCCCAGTACTGGGAATAAGCCAAATATGAACACATGTAGTTATGGGAGATCCCAGCAGAATTGTTATCGGGATGGCTCGGTCTTGGCTAGCATCCCTGCCTTCAGTTGCAGAAGGCCAGCTCAATGACCCGCAAGGAAGTTCATGAGCAGAGCTTAAAGATAACTGCTCTCCCTCATCACTGGTCTTTTCCATCTCCAGCCAACCCTTATCACCCTCCAGATGTGCTGCGCTAAATCTCTTCTAATCCCCAGCCAGAACTGAGTTGCCGAGTGCAGAAGAGCAGTCTTGCTGAGCCCGTGCCCGCCCCAGAGGACCGCTTCTCCTCCAGGATCCTTTCTTCCCCCTTTTTAGTAAGAACCCAAGAGCCCTGTCACGTTAAACCAGTTCAGTTGCCCAGTCCTGTGTTGTGTTTCCCATGGCAGTCACCCCGTGTCCCTAAGGGATGCCTGGAAGTAGGGTGAGATGGTAACAGCTCGGTAACAGCCTGGAAGTAGGGTGAGATGGGGGTAACAGCCCCCAGCACCTGGTGGTTAGAGGTAAGGTGCTTTTAGGGGCATAGGCGACCACGTGGAATATCACTTTTTCCTTGTCCCTTACATTGAGTATTTAGAGGTGCTGTATATAGCAGCATGCCTTGAGATCGCTGCTTAGGGGTGTGTCTCCATTTCCACAGCCATGGAGATTTTACCGTCTAGCTGAACTGGAGATATTATCAGAAAATGGCACAAACAGAAGGGAGAGGACAGCTCTCTGATTGGCTGGGTGGGGGTTAACAGCAGCGGGCAGGTGGAAAGGTATTTGAACATTGAACTGAGGTTTCAGGTATTCCACTGTGCATGGCTGGATCTCGACAAGAGGAAAATACTGGAGCCTTTGGTGGCCCCAGCCTTTGACTTCCCCTCCTGAGAGAGGGGCGACTGGTTCCATCTGTCCTGTTTTCATGCTGGACTTTAAAAACATGGATTTTTCTTAACTAAAAGGTGTTTATTTACCTTACACGTGGCTGCTCCTTCTGGTGGGAGCCAACGTCTTTCTGTACTCATTTAGTGTGTGCTGTATATGGGGTAGTTTATTGGTTGGTTGTGAGTTCATGGATTTGATATTCTGAAGTTGTCTTATAGCATATGCCACCCTGGGAAGACTGCAGTCTTGAAACGTGGCTTGGATACGTTGGAAATCGACTTTCAGCCCAAGAGCCAACGTTCCATTTCAGAGAGACTCTCATGGGCTGCGTTCCACTGCAGGGCCGAAACACCTGCATAAGTTTTAGTTGAAATGGCCTAAAATGTCCTTGCTGCCACTAATCGAAACCTCGTTGAGGGTAGAACTGGGGAAGGGAGCAAGGCCATCAAGGGAACTGGGGTGGGGTGGGTAAATCTCCCAGGTTCTGCCCTCCACTTTGATGAATTTTGCCTGAGATGTTTCCTTCTCCAGACACTGTTTTTTAAGCAGCAGAATGTATGCACGTTTTCATCCACTTTCTGGCAAAGAAGCAGCAATTCAGTGTCTGGGCAGGTTGAGGGAACATGGCAGCCTGGGCCCGAGAACTGGGAGTAAGCCATGGAGTCCCAGATCAACATCTGACCTGGACCCCCCAGCCAGGCCTGGTGCTTCCCAGCCTTGACTAAGAGCTGGACTTCCCTTCTGACTCTGGGTCCTCCCAGAGAAAGTACCTTGTCCGAGGCCACTCGGGGATATAGTAGCATCTCAGTCTCCGCACTGCTGTCCTTGGGCTCACTCACCTCCCAAGACACGCCAGTTTCAATACTGCCTGGTCTTTTTGCCCTGTAATCCCTTCGGTTCTTTGCCTTTGCAACACCTGGGGCACCAAACTCGGTTCCCTTTGCACCATCAAGGCATAGCTAGGTCTTCCCAGCTAGCTTTCTTGCTGAGTCGTCTCAGAACTGTCTTGCCAGATTAGAGCAGGGCCAGTACAAGAGCCAATCGGGTAACTTTGGGGCAGTCACAGCCTGGCCTCCTGGCCTACCTCACAGGGTTGCTGTTGTGAGGGTAAGATTGAGAGGAAAATTATGCAAGCCACCTTGATTTCTTTGGAAGGAAAAATGGTGGGATATAAATATAAAATGTCTTACATACCCTCTGATTATTATAAAAACTCAAGACAGATTACATGAAAAGCCAAGAAAAATATTAATATTTATTAAAACTTTATATTACCCAGTCCCTTGCTGTACGCACACCTGTGGTCCTTTCCTGCCTCCCTCCCCAGTATTAATACTGTGGCATAGGATTTAGGACTGAGGTTCTGAAGTGCTCCTTGCTCTGAGGTTGAATTCCAAGGGACCACATCCCAGGGGCTGGAAGGCCTTAAGGGGAAAGGGGTGTTGCCAGTGACAAAGGAGGTGTGACTCAAATGCCAGCGATAGGACAGGGTATAAATGGATTAAATAAATAAATAAATAAATAAATAAATAAATAAATTTTAGCATTCAGCTCTTCCTGCATTGAACTTTAGGAGAAAGATGTTAACTTTATGGAAGTGGGTGGGACCGCACAAAATCCAGGGAATCACCAGATGATCACTCACCGGGGAAACTCCAAAGAACCGGATTGAGGCTCCAGGTGCGCTGGCTTGGACCCAAGGACTTTTTTCCCTCCCCTCCCCCTCCCCCTCTGTGCATTTCGGTGTCAAAGCATGAGTGGAGTGCCCTGGAGACTGAAAAGATTTCGGGTCATAGGTGATGTGAGCAGCCAGCTCCCTGCCCGAGACCTTGTTGAGCTGCTTCCAGGCAGGGCAGACCACCCTGTGCTAATTGCGCAGAGAAAGCTGCCTCCTGCGCCCCTTTTGCACTCATAGTGGGGGGGGGGAGCACGAGCGAGCAAGCTCACAAGGGTCCAAACAGGCTTTTTCATTTGTGGCACCCCAGTTTTGGAATGATCTCCAAGAGGTGGCAGCTGGCACCCACTTTGCATTCTTTTCATTTCCCCAGCATTTTAATAGATTAGCTCTGTTTCATATATTCCATTTTATTTTGCGCTACTGCCGTGCTTCAATGTTGTATCATAGCAATTGCAGTTGTGGTTATGGTTTTATTTGGTTTTGATTCCTTTATATTAATGTGTGTATCTTGTAAACATTTGTTTAATTTTAACTTCTTAACTGCCCAGAGAGCCTCATCTATTGGGCAGTATAAAAATTAAACAAATAAACAAACAAATAAATAAATGCAAGCAGTTCGTCAGCCTGAAAGCTACCATTCTGCCATGGCCAGTAGCCTCTGCATTAGGTGGCTATCGATGTTCCCCTATGGGAGAAACACTGAGCCCTTTTGGTTGGTGTGGGGATGGCATCCCCACAGTGGAGAGACACCCTGGGTGTGGGGACAGCAAAAAGACCCCCTCCTCTTTGGATTGGCCGGTTCTTTCTGCCCAGTCTCAGCAAGCAAGGCCTGTATGGACTAGAATAGTTGGCATTTGGTGGGGGAAGCTGGTGGGCTGGCTCTCTTCAGGTGCTAACTAGGCTGTCTCCATATTAACCCTTAATATTGAAGTGAGCATGTCTCTCAGTACCAGCAGTGGGGAAGTAGGGATGGGGAACGGTTTTTCTGCTCCTCCTTTGCTGGTGGGCTTCCTGCAGAGCCGTTCCAGAAACTCCAGGAACCTTCTGTTCGCACCTTGCCTTTTTATTTCTCAGCTTTTTTGCCATGGAGGTAGTTGTGAGGTGTGTATCGGGTTGCCCCTTTGCTTGACTTGGATGCAGGTAAGCTGCGAAAAACTGAGGAAGAGGCTGTGCTCTCACTTAAGACAGTTTTGCAGCATGACCCTCTACATCTTTGCGCCAAACTGAGCCCTCCTGAATTCCATGGGGCTTTTAAATTGGGCGTTTCTGTGTGTGTGTGGCGGGGGGGTGGGGAGGTGATATGTCGGCAACGTCACCATGCCTGGACATGCTGGGGAGAGATTCTGGGCTTCTCATGGACAAGTGACGTGCTGGTCTGGGCTGTTGACTCCTGTCTGGCTAACCCAGTGGTGGGAATGGTCCCAAGTAGCCAAGTGTTCTGCAAAGCAGTGCGTTGGGTTTGGTTCTGCCCCCGCAAGGCAGCATTGCGAGCTGGAGACCATAGCAACAGGTCAGCAGGTTGTCTGGACGACAAGGTAAGCCGCTGGTCGCCTCCTGCTTCATCTGATAAAAGATGCCAAGCAGGAGAGTACTGAATGCGTGTGCAGCTCCTTCGCAGCAAGCCAGAAAGTCTCTGCCAACTGAATGCTGAGAACCTGTGCGCCCTGTAATTCTACACGCGTTCTGGGGTTCCCAGCAGGACATGTGCTTGGCTTTGGGGCACAGGGAGCCCCCTTAGTCAGGGAACAGGGATGCTTGTTCAGAGTTAGAGGCCCGGAGGCATTTATGTCCAAGCAGCAAACTTTCCTTCAGGCAAAAGACAGTTGTAATGCTGTATGTTCCAGAGTCTTCTGCTCGGCACGTCTCTGTTCGTATGATTGCTTGGCTTCATCTTACTTGGACAATTCTCGCTCCTGGGGCCAGATCCCTGCTAGCCCCATGTTCACAAGAAACCCAAACCTGCATAGATGGGCTGGGAGGGCCAGGTTTGACGTTAAGTAGAAACCCAGAGCATGGTCTGAAGGTACGGAAGGCATTCGCCATGTGGAAGCTAAGCAGGTCCAGGACTGGCCTGAACCTGGAGGGGAGATTCTTTGGGAACTGCATGTCCCTGCCTTGAGTTCCACAATGGGAGAAAGGTGGGATGGAAATATAACCAATAAAGTGCTGCTGGGTGTGTAGGGAGGGGCTGGGGGGCTGAGGAGTGGTGCCCCAAACCCTGCAGACAACGTGCTGCAAGTTCTCTCTCCCAAGTTCTCACATGGTTTTCCTCTCCTACAGGATTATATCTGTCCAAGGTGTGAATCTGGTTTTATCGAGGAATTACCTGAAGAACCTAGGTAAGCGCTCCTCCCCCTCTCATTTCTGGAAACATGTGCGTGTGGGTTTGGGGCTTGTGTTCACTTCCTCCCTGGCGTGGAGAGTTCTCTCGCCAGCTTTGTTTCTGAGACGGTCCTAAGTTCTTCAGACTTCTTATCAGCTCCTTCCTGTCTGCTCTTGGGAAACGGCACTCCTCATGTTTGTGTGATGGCGCAGTGCAGATAGCAGGTTTTGCTTTTGGTTTCCTGCCTTTAAACTAGAAAAGTAGTAACTAGAAATCCACCAGTAGCTAGAAAAGTAGCACAGGCCAAAGAAGGGCGTGGCCGGCATCTTTCCCCCCCTAGTTTTCCAGCTTTCTGCTTCTCCTGGGACTGGACAGTCCGTCCTCCCTTCTTGAGTCTGCATTTGCAAGGTGGGCTGAATGACGTGCAAGGCCTATACCAGCTGAAATGCCAGCCTGGGTCCTTGGATGCTGACGTTGCTCACACTGTTCTGGGCATCCATTTTGCTTCTGGGTACTCACAGTCCTGGTCCTTAACTCAAAAGCCCAGTACGATGGAGCCCTGGTCCCTGGAGAATGACCCGCTCTCGTCTGGGTCCCTGGCCTATAAGCTCTTGAGATTTGGTGAGCTCTTGTTTCAGCTGCAGTGCCAAATCCTCTGGCCATACTCTTGCATTTTGCTTTGATTCTGCTTTCGGGGGCAGGCTGGAGAAACTTCCATGGCGTTTTGCCCTTTGGTGCACCCTGCATGGTTCTTTACCTGGGTGGTATTCTGTCATCTTTATTTGCCCCTGTGCTGTCTCACATTTTTCAGTTTGATGCCTCGGTTATCCCAGAGGACTTAATTGACATCCTTGTTGCTGGCAGCTTCAGTGCCTAATAGAAACTAAATTAGGATTTTAAAAAAAATTGAGGAAAATAATTAACTAACACTTCTGTGATTCTCTTCTCTGAACATCTATAATGATTTAAAGTTTATTTAAGAGACATCTGCTTTGGCTTCACTCTATATATCCCAGAGAGTAGAGAGTAAAACAAAGTCATTGAGGCACCCACTGATTTGGGGGGAAGCTGCTCTGAATCCATTTGGCTTACTTGAGAGTAGATTCCAAGACTCTGTGTGTGTGTGTCTGTATCTATCTCAGGGATATCAAAATCAGTCTCCAGTGCAGTTTCTGCCTCCATCCATAGCATTTTGACTAGTGTACTTGGGGCTTTAAAATAAGCACAAGCATTCATCATTATTCATACCTTCCGTAAACCCTGTTTAAGAAACAGGGAGTGGAGATTCCTAACTGGCATTCTTTCTGTGCGTCTAAGCGATTATCCCAGCCGGCGATGCGCATGCACTTCTGTCAAAGGCAAAACAGGGAGCGGTTCTGCCTCCACACCCAGAGATTGTCTGCTGAAGAATACAGCCATTGGCCCAAGAATAGGACAGGCTAAAGGAAAAAGCCAAATGGTATTTCTGGGGACTGGCAGAGAGGAAAAAGTGCAAAGATGAGTTGAGCCATTTCTTGTGCTGCCCTCGTGCACAGACCAGTTATGGACTAGTGAGCACAGATGTCTGCAGAAATGACTAGGTCCACATGAGAAATTGGTTTGGTTTCACTTCTTCCAAGGAATGCCGAGAACGGCACCAGCTCCTCCACGTCGACCAGCGATCAGAGCAGACAGCCGTTTGAGGTGAGCTCCATGTGTTACGTTTCTCTTAGCTGTCCCGTTTAGATAAATGTACATAGTACCAATTCCCAGTTAGAAGGAACATGGGTCTCAGTGACCAGAGGAGTCGCCCAAGGCTTTGGAGAGGACTTGTTAATCAGAAATCACGTTGCTGGGCTGGGTGAACGTTCTGGTCACTCATTGACGGAGCTCAGCATTTTCACGTGGAAATGTCCATTTCGTTCCCTGGCTGCTTCACTCAGAAAGGGCATGGCATACCTCTCAGTCCAGGGATCAAATTCTACTTCCGGAGGAACTTGTGGGCCAAAGGCGAAAGGGATGTGCCAAGAGTATGTGCTGTGTGCCATCGAGTCATCCCCAACTGAGGGCAGCCATGTAAATGAAAGCCCTTCAAAGGTCCTATCCATCAGGACCTGTTTTCTGTTCTGGTCGTGGCTGCAGCAGGTCTTGGCTTCTCATGTGGTGTCCAAAAAGGGCTTTTGCTCCTAGGGAAAGTTCTGGCTTAATAGGATCCAGGACCCACCTACCTGCCCTTGCCTGTCAACTTTTTACCACCAGAGACACAAACCGGGTGGGCCAACTGTGCCTCCCCTCAGTGCTAACCTGCATAGCAAGCAGTGAAGTCTGATGGGTGTTGTAGTTCAGCGACACCTGGGGAGAAGCATTTTAGCCTTTTCAGTGGGGGAAATGGTCCACAAGCCAGAAAAACCAGAAAACCATCAGTGGAAAGAAAAGTCTTTGGGAAGGGCTGTGATATGTGAGGAGGCCTGGAACTGGCTTCTGGGTTTGGGGTCTTCCCTTGAATTAAAATGTTGTAGGGCCAGAAAAGATGGTAGCAAAGACACACACACACACCCAGTAGGGCTGCAACCACTCAGTTGTAGTATCAATGGGTCTGTGTCTGAATCCTGTACTCAGTGTACCACAGTATAATTACCTTTGCTTATTTCTGTTTCTGTTTCTTTCACTGTTTCTTTTTGTGTTTGTTTCTCTTTCCGTTTTCCTTTTTTCTCCTTCCCTGGCTAGAATGTGGATCAGCATTTATTCAGTTTACCGCAGGGCTACGGCCAGTTTGCTTTTGGGATCATCGACGACAGCTTTGAGTTTCCAGCCTTCGGGTCCAACGCTCAGTCGGAAGACAACCGGGACGCCGAGAACCGGCGAGAGCGAGAGCACCAATCTCGGCACAGATACGGTGCCAGGCAGCCTCGGGCCCGTTTTACCACCCGGAGGACTGCTGGCCGGCACGAGGGCGTCCCCACGCTAGAAGGGTGAGGGCAGCTTGTGGGGTCTGCAGTCAAAAGCGGCTGTGTGTTGTCTGTTTGAATATAAGAATCTCATTTAAGATCAAATATATTTTCATGGAAGAAGGATTTGGGTTTAAAAGTTGCAGTGGCAAAATTTAAAATCAGAACCTTTCTTCTTTCCTTCTTATTTTCTTTCTTTCTTTCCTTCTCCCCCTTCCCCTGCTCCCTCCCTCCCTCTGGGCATGGCCTGGATCCCCTTCTCTCCTCCTCTGCAGAATCATCCAGCAGTTGGTCAATGGGATCATCGCACCTACCACGATACCGAATCTCGGAGTCGGACCCTGGTGAGCCGCCTTTTCCGAAGGCCCTGCCCACTTCCCCCTTCTTCCTTGCTGACTTCCACTTCTAACAGGCCTGGTTGCCTGTCACCTGGAGATAACAGAGAAATTTATTGTTAAAAATGGAAACACAGAAATTTATCCCGCCCATCATCACACCATTTCGATTGCATTTTTAAATGAAACTGTGATTGCTAGATTCTGTACCCATCAGACACTTCCCCTTTCATAGCTAAGGGGCACCATGACTGCCTTTCCTTCCATGCAACTGGAAAACAAAATGGCACACTTGAATTTATGGTAGTGAGTCTGTGAACCCAAAGGCTTCCTAGCCTGCCCTTTCTTTCCTTCTGCTGGTCCCATTGAGCAACTGACACCCTCTCCCTGTTGTCTCTTCATTCACAAAGGGGAGTCCTGCATTCAAATCCCATGGACTACGCTTGGGGCGCCAATGGCTTGGACGCCATCATTACTCAGGTGAGCCTGGCTGGGCCTTTGCAGGGCAGTTTGGAGCCGCTTTCCCTCCTGGGGACAGAGGTTTTACCTCCCATCAGGACACGGTCTGATTTCAGCTGGGCTAAAGTTTCGGGTCTCTGAGTGGGACCGCCATCTTCTGAGGCAGCCGGCCTCTTAGTAATTTGTGGGTGAGCCGCTCGGGAGAGCTGAGGCCTTCCTGTCCCTGCCCCACAGGGAGGCTCCAGTTTGGCTGCTTGCTGTGGGGGAAGCGGATTGTGCAGTCGGATCGCCCCCCCACCCTGCCTTGATCCAGCAGGGGTGTCCTCTGGCAGGCATACAGCCAGAAGGTATGAGCCACTCAGTGCCAAGACCCGAGTCAGAGGAGCGCCTAGTGAGCTTTGCAGCCAAGTGGGGATTGGGACCCGCTCTCCCCCATGCTGGGCCAACACAAGCCACTGCCAGGCTTCCAGAATGCAGTCTGGTTTCTTCAGCTGATCTCTGAGCTCCACCAAGTGTTGACCTCTAAGAAAGCTGAAGGGGGCCTCTGAGCAAGAGCTCAGCCCGGAAACCTGTTTTCATTTCCAGAAGCAAGTTCTCTGCCCTTACACACCTGAGGCCAGTTCTGGGTCACATCGACTTTGCTTTCTTTCCTGTACCCAAGAGATATTAACCTGCTGCGGCCGTCGAGCCATTGAAAGCTCTTTACCAGTCAGCATTAATCACGCAGGGCACCGCTGGGAGAGGCAAAACCTCCTTTCCTTGACTCCTGATTGACTGTGCCAAAGCATCCTCCATTGTTTCCCCCTTTCAGCTACTGAACCAGTTTGAAAACACAGGCCCCCCTCCTGCAGACAAAGAGAAGATCCAGAGCCTTCCAACAATCCATATAACAGAAGAACACGTAGGTACGTGCATTGCCCTCTCCCCGCCCCCCCCTTTCTTCTTCTCCCCCTCCCCCCCCTCCTCCTCCACCAAAGCTGCATTCAGAAGAAATAACCAGAAAAATTTTATACACAGCGTGAATGAATTTCTGCTTTTCATCTCTCCATTTGCCATTTGCTTTTATAACTTTTGTGTAGGTGAGCTGGCAGTGCTTTGATTCATTTCTGTTTCTTGAATTATGCCCTTTGTTATGTGTCGGGCTTCCAGCAATGTATAATCTTCTGTAAGAACCTTCTGCTGACCGGGCCTGCAGTACATTAAACTTCACTAAAGCAAAAGCCCATGTGGCACTTTGAGTAGTTACTTTCTGTAAACATTAAACACTTGCCACTTCACGGCTGGCATCCACCCACTGGCACCCTGAGTTCTCTGCTAATTAATGAATGGGTTCGTAATTGCTCCATTGTGCACACAAATGCTGATAAAATGCACAGGGGAGAAAATCGTCTGGGTCTAGGAAGCGTCGATGGTACAGTTATAAATAAATATCCGAAACATTAACCACCTGTAAGCTTCACCCTCAGCCACAGCGGACCATTCAAAGATTATTTCCATTAGTGAGTTTCCGACCTCGGTATCTCTCTTTGTTTGGGAAAGGGACAAATACCCTTGATTCTCATTCTTTCTCTCTCTCTCTCTCTCGCTCTCTCTCGCTCTCTCTCGCTCTCTCGCTCTCTCGGACCTGCAGGTTCTGGACTGGAATGCCCCGTGTGCAAGGAAGATTATGAAGTCGGCGAAAGTGTGCGACAGCTACCCTGCAATCACTTGTTCCATGACGGTTGCATAGTCCCTTGGCTAGAACAGGTTAGACACAAAAACAGAGCACAGAATGATGCAAGCCTGGACAGCCAGCGGTGGATCCCCGTTCTAGGAACTTGTTTTCTGGAGCAGGAGCAGCCAGCCCGGGCTGCGAGGTCCCTCTCTCCCCCCTGCCTTTGCATTTCCCAGTAAAGCACAATCCTTTACTGAGCTGTGTGGGTTTACAAACGGTATAAATCAAAGCAGCGGTCCCTCTGATACGGGAGGGTAGCATCTGCCCATGTGCAGAGCTGAATTCAAAGGGGGAACCTTCTTCCTTTTGGGAAGGGACTTGACTGCAGCCTTCGATTTCGTCACATTGCTTGAGAGCCGGGGATGGGACCAGCGACCGATCCTTAACCAGTCTGTCCTCTTGGGCTGAAGCCTTTTGATAAGGGTGAAGAATTCCCCTTGGTTTCCACCCCTCCCTGTTCTGTATTCTTGCATCCCCGGGGTTCTGATTTCCTTGCTCGTGCCCAGGTTGAAAGGAATGTGCAAAGAAAGCGCCACTCGGGCTTCCAGCTCTTGCACCCTCTCACCCAGAATGCTGCAATACTTGAAAACCTGATCAAAATTTCCTGGGGGGTGGGTTGGATGAATTGGGGGCCACTCCCCTCAACCCCGCATGAGCAAATGCCGTGCTGCCTCCGGAGTGGATTCGGCCAGGCCGGCCGGCTCCGGAACGCCGGCCTCTCTTCCTAACCTCGCTCTCGTCGTCTTTTCTCTCCGAAGCATGATACCTGCCCAGTGTGTCGGAAAAGCTTAAGCGGCCAGAACACAGCCACGAACCCACCAGTACTCTCAGCGATGAATTTCGCATCGTCTTCATCGTCCTCGTCATCTTCCTCCTCCTCCAGTTCACCAAGTAATGAAAACTCCGCAAACAACTCATGAATCTTTCCAGAGCAAACCCTGCGCTGCCCCGTCGTGCTTTTTCTAATGTCACAGCCCTTCCTCTTCCCACCACCACTGCCAGGGGAAAGGAGTGTAGGGTGGGCATCCCCGGAACAGAGCGGAGCAGGGAGAAAGGGACCTCTCATGAAACATAGCGACATCGAGACCCTTTTCTCTTCCCCTCCCCAACACCCCTGGGTGTTGGTGTTAAATAACCCATTCTTTTAAGGGCAGACCCATTCCTTTCCAAAACTGCTGTGTGGACCTTTAAAAACCAGCCAAACAGCTCTGCAAAAAACAAAGCGGCAGGGAATGAATGGAACATGGCAAAGACCGAACAGAGAGATCTGAATTCCAAAGGGGTGTTCAAACATGTCTGTGTCCACTTTTTTTATTTTTTTTTTGGTTAAATTCTGACCAGGTTTTCCTGCCTCCTTCCTCACCTCCGTTCTTTTATGCTTTGATGTATCTCAACCTCGAATGTGGAAATATAATGCGTCCTTTTTCCCCTTCCCTCCTTCCCTAAGGATTTTCTACATCAGGAGGGGATGGTGAAGCTTTTCAAATAGCAGGCATTCAAAAACCCACCGGGGGGGTGGGGTGCACACGACCCTCACAATCAAACAACATTTCCTGACCTTGTTGAGTTTCTTTTTTCCCTCCCCTCACCTTCTGTTTAACACCGCCCTTTTTGGCAATTTGACGAGACTGGGGTTTTTATAATTTTAAATTATTACTGCTGTTAAATAAATGGACATTTCAGTTCGACCCTGTGCTGCAGTTGGGTTTTGTGCTATCGAGAGGAGCCCACCGAAGCCCAACTCTTGGATGGAATGGCTCGGAGCGTGTTCCCCACAGGCAGAGGTCTGCCCCCACCCCCCAGGACAGCGCTGCTGTTTCTAAGAGGTTCTCAGAGCCGTCGTGTCTTGTGTTGCGGGTTGCTAGGCCTGCAGATCAGCCGACTTCTGCTCATGTCCTTTCCTTGATCTGGGCAGCTGTATTTGCCCACAGTAAAACTTGAGCCTCTCTTTCCAGATTGGAAGAAAGTGCTAAGCCGTGTGCAGAAATGGGAAGCGCTTTTACACATTGGTGATTTTATTTTATTTTATATTTTATTTTATTATTTTATTTCATAGCATTCTTGCTTGCCTCGAAGGGGCAGGGCTGTGTGGAATAGGCACCTTGGCTTGGTTGTCATTCAGAGCTCAAAACCAAGCATCTGCACATGTGCCCACAGATTTGTGTGACTCCCACAAATGGTTACTTCAGACACCTTAAGTCCTGGGGCCGAGCCCTCCCCAAAATGCTATTTGCTCCTTCTGGGTCCCCCCATGTATCTTTTTCTTGAGAACCTCCGTGTTGCTCTTCAGGCGTCTGTTTATGTGGTTCAGAAGAAGTCACAGGGTGGACTTTTTTGCCTTGTGGGCCGACTTCAGAATTGGAGGATTTCTCGGGGGTTTGTTGCAGTAGAAGATGTGGCTGGATGTTCCTGGTTCTTATTCCTTTCCTTTCCATGCTGTCCTAAGCCAGAACCACTGAGCAGTGAAGACACTTTGTAAACCTGTTAAAGAGTCTGGCCTTGGGCGTTTTCCTCAAGCCATTTCAACATCTCTGGCTGACTTGAAGTGTCTCTGCCTCGAGGGCTGTCTTAGCCTGGCACGGAAAGGGCCACAGAGTAGGGGCCAGGCAGCCAGGGTGGAATGGGGTGGATAAATTCAAGGGGTGGCTTCCCTCTTGCTTCTGTTCCCTGGGACTTCCTTGAAGTTGACACTCAGGTGAAGACCGTGGGATGTTCATCATAGCATTCAGGGAAGTCGCGTCTGGGAAAGCCACCCCTTGCAGTCCCAATCCGTGTAGAGCTTTATAGGTTGAACCCCACACCTTGCGCCGAGCTCAGGTGCATGCAGGTGGGCAGTGCAACGTTCTGGCTCCCAGTTCTTGGTTTGATTGCTGTGTTTGGCACAGGCTGCCGCTTCCAAACAGTCTTCAAGGACAGCCCCAGGTAGAATGCACTGCAGTAATCTAACCAAGGAGATGACGAAGATTGCAAATCCAGTGCCACTGACATTCCCGGAGCCCCAAGGGACAAAAATGGCTCAAGGAGGATGCCCAAGCTATGAGCTTGTCCCTTCAAGGGGAGCACGGTGCCCTCCAGAACTGAAAAACCTCCACCTGGGCTAAGGAGCCTCCCACTCCCAGCATGCTGTAGCTTGAAGGACTTGCTGCCTGAATGAGGTCCTTGGAGAGACATTTCATCTGTTTGGAACGGGGACAGAAATGCCCCAAAGTCAGGAAAGCACCAAAAGTTGGTTGGAGGAAGGAGGCTCAGGATCTCGGGGCTGGATTTGTGCCTCAGGCCTGGAGTTCAGCACCCCAGCTTCTTCCTTGCTTGGCTCAAGTGGCTCAGAGGGAGCAGTGGAGTTTGGTTTTAAAAACAAAACGCTATTTGCATTCAAAACAAACTGTTCCCAAGAAATACTCTTGGTGTACTTACTTCGGTTGCACTGTAGTCAGCAGGGGGCACCAAACACCCACCCCTCCCAACTCCTATGCCACTCCCGCCAGTGCTGGGGTACTCCAGAGCCGGGGTACTCATCCTGTCTAGGTCAGCAGCAGGTTGGGGATTCTGGGGGGTGCCATGGATGCTCTCACAAAGCCACGGGGGGGGGGGGGGGGGGGTCCTCTTTTCAGAAATGCAGCTGTTGCAGCAGGAATGGTTGGCTCCTTCCCGGAGGGCAGCTGGGGCCCGTTTCAACAAGACAAATGGAGGGCCCAAGCATTTCCCCCATTATAAAACAAATTTGTTTTTAAAAGGGAAATGAAGAAGGCCACAATTCCGGTGGGCAGTCAAGGCAGCACTTTGTCTGGCAGCAGCCTGACTTAAACAGGCTTTTGGTCCAATCCGGGAGGGTTGCTCTAAAAAAAGCTTAAAAACCTGTCGGGGCAGCTGCTGCCTTGACTGCCCTCCAGAATTGCGCCCTTTTTCATTTCCCCTTTAAAAACAAATTCATTTTAGTCATGGTTTAGTTTGCAGGGATTTTTACTGTGTGTTTAGAAATGTCGTCACTGTCTGGAAAAGCTTAGAACCCTCCCCACGGCGGGTAGATATAATCGCGAAACTGCAGGAGGCGCAGCTGAGCATCTCGTGTCCCGAAGGCTGCTTCATCCACTCTGGAGCAGGGATTTGTCTTGCAGGTAGGTGGTTTTCGACTCCAGAGCAAATGCTGTTAGTACCCACCCTTTCGGTACTCCTGTTGTACTTCGCCCTCGTAAAGCATGCAAATCACACTTCTGCACACCACCCAAGCAGTTTCGTGGCTTGCAATTGTTTCTGTATTCCCCGCCGGTCATAAAACACTCATCTCCCAGAAGGTAAACTGCCGTGACTATAAGTAAAGGATCTTTGGGTAAATCCAAACAAGGGTGAGATTGAACTCCAGTGGCAGGCCATGGGCCAGTTGCTCGTTCAGGTGCTTCTGAATGTAAAACGGTAGAGGGGCAAATTCTGTCATTTGGGGCAATTAATGCCGCCGTAGCCCATTGGTTTTGCAAAAGGGGAATACGTAGCTTCCGAGCTTTTTCTGGAATAGAATACGGAATCGTGCGCCACGGGTGGAAGTGGCAAGGATGAGGGCTGCCCATCGCATCGGCGCCTCTGCCGGGCCTCAGTCTGTTCCTTCTGCGTTCCGATTTAACTGGAGAACGATTCGTGAAGCACCTGCCCAACTTCCACGCGGTGTTGGGCAGAGTCCCTTCCTGTTCTGTTCAGTTTATCCAGAGGGAGCATTCAAGGCCTTTATGGCATAAAACGGTGTGGGTCAGTATCCATTTAAACACACCGCACCAAATGGCGCATTCTTGATGTTGCAACATCCTGGCAGCCTTTGACTCCTGCGAGCAAGGCGGGAGAAGGTGCGTGTCTTCTGACAGTGCTGGCGTGAAGGTTGCCAAGATAATGCATGCAAAAAGCCATCTGAGCATGCCATAGGAGGGCAGGAAGCTGCTTGATTATGCAGCTGTTCCTCATGTTTTGAAATATTATGGGTTGGGGAAACTGGGGCAGCTGGGAAATGAGTCACTGGGTCAGGCCTTCATCAACCTCCCAAGCCACTGTGGCCGGCTGGGTGCGTTTCTGACCCACATAAAAAACCAGGCCCCTTTACCTTTGCCTGAAGTGCTACTTGGAGGCTGTTTCCGTGTGGAGATCTCCGGTGTGGTGTCTCTGGGCACTGGCTTGCCTGCAATCATCCTTTGTGACTCCACCGGGTTTCTTCCCTGCTTTTGCGTAATGTTTCTTTTTGTTCCTTGGCTTGCCGCGAGAGAACAAGTTGCTCTACACTGCCATTTTTATTTGGATTCTCGAGAAGGGGGCTCTTGTAAGCACTGGATGAAATAGTAAGACTGGGATTGGATGCCACATGCAGCAGACAAGGAAACACACTGTCTGCTGGGCACTTCCTAGCAGCCTCAATTTTTAGGAGCACGGTGGAGGCACTGAAAAAGGACGCGTGAGGGCAGAGTTAGGTTTGCCACTTACACCAGGAAGCTCTTTAGTTACTCCCAGTAACCCAGGATGAAAGCAGTCCGTCAGTTCAGATGTCCTGGCAATCAGCCCCGAACAACCCAAACAAGAAGTTGCAGCTTCTCGGGGTGGGTGGCTCATTCAAGAAAAAATACAGTACTGCTCAGTTCAGACGTCAGAGCAACCCATGGGAGGGGATCAGCCAGTGTCGGTTGTCTTGTGTGAAGTAGGCAACACCTCTGAGCCTTGTGTGTGGCCTAGAGGGGTTTATCAATATGGAAAGTGCAGCACTGAATTCTTGTTCTGCTTTGAAGCGCTCCCAGCAACCAGGGGGGAAAGTTGAGGAAGGGTTGGGCACCTCGGAAGAGGTCTGCGGAAGAACCGGTGCCCACGGGCATTGCCTATTTCTGCCTCCGTCCTGATGGTCGACTTAGGAGGCCATCAACAGGCTCAGGTGGAACATGATCAAGGAGGGCACCTCGTGGTCTTTATTCCTTCGAATCACAGCATGCTTTTTCTATCTGTCTTTTTCTTTCTTTTTTTACAAAAATAATAAATAACCCAAAGCTTATAAATATATTATGGCAGAAAACAGTCCAGCGTGGGAGGGAGTCCCTTGCTCAAGTGACAAGCAGGGGCAGGAAATGCGTAGAAAGGTGTTGGCGTCGTGTCTTGGTCCCTTGCCGGGGAGCGCCCCGGCCGTCCAGCGAGAGGAACATGGGGCGGCCCTGGTGGTGCCAGTGCAATGAGGCATACGTGTTGTAGCCATTTTCTTCGATGCGTTCCTTGAATTTGCAGTTCGGGCTGTAGGATTTCTGTAAGGGAAGGGACAGGGGTGGAGGGAGCTTTACTGATGGGGTTCCTCAACAGAGGCTGAAAAGTGGAGAGTCACAAGAGCAGAACCGAACCCTGGTGGAAAGATCCTGGGCCACACCTTTCTGGTTGAAGTCACCAGCACCAGCCCCCAGCACCTGGGGGACCCTCCCCTGAGTCCGATCCCCAGGTGAATCCCAATCCTCACAGCTGCAAATTGCAGCTTGGAGACCCCAGTACAATGTTTCTCTCGCACACAAACGTTGGCCTCCCCAAAATTCCCCTGGGGTCGGCGAGAAAGGAGAGGGCTACTAGCTGAACCTCAAGCTCAGCAACTTCGGTGCTGCCTTTAACCTGTCCTGGAGGGGCATAACCATATGTATGGTCAGGATCAGGGCCCTACCCGTGTTCCATGAAGGATCAACAGCTGAAACAAAATTTTCCTGGGAAGCATCACTGCTTTCCTCTGCATTTTACAACTCCCAGCATCCAAAATTAGGTAGGTGATTGTGTGTGTGTGTGGGGGGCGGGGTTGGAAGAGGGGGAGGAGGAGGAGGAGGTGGGTGTCCTTAGGGGGTGCCACCTGGAGAAGTTTGCCTGGAGCCAACAGGTTCAGAAAAATCCCACTTTATTGCTCTCAAAGTATGCAGTGTGATTTGTTCAGGTTTCTAACTTTCTCTGCAGAGCCCCAAACTAGATGGATTTCTTTCCTCACTCACTGGATTAACTGTTTTCTATGGAGTTCTTGTTGCAGGAAGTGTTTTGTGTGATTTGTGTCTTCACAGGGGTGGCCTAGAAATCCGTGGATTTAATACATCCTGCCTTTGAATTCTTGCTGATTGCTTCATTGCAGGAGGTAAATTAGGCCCTCTGATTGGCTACTTGTTATTGCCTACCTCAAAGGGAGGTTGTTAAGGGGAGAAAATGTAAAAAGCTTGCAGATGCTATCTTGACCTTGTTGAAGAAAGAGTGTAATTTTGTGCCTGGCTGGCCGTCTTTAGTACAAATTGCCCTCCATTCTAAAAGGTTGAAGTATTTTTTTCTATGGCCCTTTTTCCCCTTGCACTTCGGAGCCTAACGCTAAACCAGGCAGGTATAATCGGACCTGCCCTTTTGCCTTCAGCCATGCCCAATGCTGGAATGTGGCTCCAACAAGATCCAAATTCAGTCACTGGGCTTAAAGAAACGCCACTGCTTGTGCTAGGCGCTGTAAAGAGAAGGAAAATATTTGTGATAAAATCGGTGTTGATGGCAACCCTTGAGACTCGGGGACTGGCACGGGAGAAGAAGGCTGCTTTCCCTTCTGTGGATTTCTCCCCATAATTTGGGGGTTCCAAATTAATTGGTGAAACTGCTCACTTGGGAGATTTTTCTCCAGCTTTCCTTCTGCATTCTGCATGGATTAGGGGGCAGTATTGTTTCTGTTCTTTCTGTTAGTTTATTAGCAGTGCACCAGGTATACCAAAATGCCCTGCAAGGAAACCCTTCCTGATGGGAGGTTGCTTTTTGTGTGGCGCATTACCAGAATCTCACATGCGTCAGGAAATCAGCATCTAAAGCATTCTCACGTGACCCTGTTTACATTGCTTTTTTTCGATTATCTGCGTGTTACAAAGACAGCTGGAAGGAAGATGCATATAGGACTGTAGGAATGGAAAGCGGAAGTGTGCTTTTTGGTGTCTGCAGGAAGTGAAGGCAGTATAAGAAAGCTTTATTATGGAGCCTACGAACAGGATGGGAAAGGGCAAGGAGATTGGGTTTGCATAGTGGCCCCCTAGAATTTTAAAGTGAGGAGGGTCTATGGAGGTAATCTAGTCCACCCCTCCTGTCTAGTGCAGGGATCTTATGAAACAGAAACACAGTAAGTCAGAAAGGGCCTCCCAGGCCATCTAGCCTGACCCATGGCTTCAGCCGCCTCCACTCATGACATGCCCACCATGTGCATGTCCAGCCTATCCTTGAACACCCTCACCGTTGGGGCCTCAAACACCTCCCGTTGGGGTCCTGACTCAGGCAGTGCTTCCTGGCATCCAAATGGAACCTGGGTTCCCTGACCTTGGCTCCGTTGGAGCACATCCTGCCTTCCTCTGCAGGGGAGAACAGGTCTCTGCCCACCTCCGTGTGACACCCCCTCACACACCTGTATGTCACCAACAGATCCCCTCTGAGTCTCCTCCAGGCTGAAGAGGCCCAGTTCCCTCAGTCTCGCCTCATACGGCTTCCCCTGCAAACCGGCCACCAGCCTTGTGGCCCTTCGCTGCACCGATTCCCATGAACGAGCATTTCATGGATTCCCTGTTCAGCCTCCACCAAAACATTCAGCAAGGTGGTCTACCATCTCCCGTGGCATTCTGGCCCAATCATCTCATGACGCTAGGCATTTTCCCCCATGAGTAACCAAAAAAATCTGCATTCTTAGGCCACAGGGCTAAGGAAACCAAACAGGTGCAGAGAGAACTTTCTCTGAGCCCCGCTCCTGCCAGTTGCCTTTTCTTTCGAAAACAAAGGGACAAAACTGTAAAGTTACCGTTCCGTAGACCCTCCCCTTTCGGTTCATTGCCACGTAGAAGCCGCTGTGGATGGACCGGATGGCCACGGTCCCTCTGTGCACGGAGCGAATGTCCACAACACCTGCAACACAGGAGAGAGAGAGAGGTTGAAACATGGGTAGCTCGCACAGACCAAGGACAGGAGAGGCCGGAGCAGCTGCTTCCCCCCAGATGTGTTGCCAGGCAGCTTCCAAAATGCCCTGTTTCTGTCAGGCGAACAATGGGTGCAAAGCTGGCTTGCTATCCTGGCTTGTTCCTAAGCTGGTGACCCCGGTTCTGATGAAACAGGAAACTGGTTTGATTGCTTGGCTATAAAAGGAGACTGTCTTTTCGAAGAAGGGAAGGAAACAGGTTTATTTCTTGCTTTTGATTGTGCCCGACCTGATCGAGCCCCACACTCTCGTCCAGGATGCCTGAAACTAAGTCCAGCACCTTGATCACGCCACCAGCAAACAGCCTGTCTCTTTCTCGCTCACGGATTGCATCCAGCCCCACATGTCTGGGGTTAGAGAGACAGTGCCTGCCAGGACTGGGGGATTCTCTCTTTTATCTCTTTTGCCCAACAGTGACAAGCACAGCCTTCTGCAGTGCTTAGCAAGGGAGAAACACACGAAAGCAACTCAGAGTTGAACAAGGAAGGCCAGAAGAGGTCAAAGCCAAGCTCTTTCTGCAAGAGAGGAAGCCTCTGGGCAGTCATTCCAGTCATTTAAAATGGGCTGGGAGCATTGCACAAAACTGGAAAACTATCGACTGTCCGTGCTCCGGGGTGGAAGTGCCGGGCTGGGCCACATTCTGTACCCCTGTTTGAGATGATCCCCGATATCCCTTCTAATTTGGCAATCAGTATCAACCCACAAACACTGCAGCAAAAGTATCCTTTTAGATGCTGCTATATCATAGGCAGTTGTGCTGGGAGAAAGTCCCAGACAAGGGCTGACCCCTTTTCTGTCCCCTTTTCTGCTGGTGGGCCCTGGTGGACTTTTCTGGCTGTGAGGCTATGCTCTGTCCAACTTTGGGTCTACCTCGTATCCTGGTGCCCTCTGCCAGTGTTAAATTTGTTGTGGCACGAAAAAGGGGCAAAGTTGCATGTGAAAAAGGGACATGTCTAGCAAGCAAACAGATGTGTGCCCCGGAAGTGTACTCGCTTGTAAACAAGTCAGTATTCTCCGCATGTGCCTTGTCTGGGTACACATTATTGCATGATAGTCCATGATACTAATGAGGGGCTAGCAATCAAAAACACATAAATGCTTGCAGATGGTTGGCAGATCTGTTAACATCGTCTTTCTTATGCCATTATTTTTCGTAGAGGCTGGATCCTAAGAAAGCCATGGGTTTGATGGCCACTGGGAATCCTACAAAATCTGATTTAAAGCACCAATCCTAACCTGAGATGCAAAGGAACTGGGTGAACGCAGCGGTGGAACCAGTAGCTTTAATTTAGATTAAACCTAGAGTTTCACTGCGATCTGTTTAAGCCTCAGATCCTGTTTTGTGTGATATTCTCTTCTCTAAAGGACAAAAAGCAGTGAGAATGACAAGAGGACCTCTGAGCTTATGCAAACGGCCTTGATTCACCATTGAGTAATCATTCACTGCTAGTCTCAGCAAATCTGGAAGTCTGCATCTTCCGCAGCATCTATATTCATGGAACTCTACTAAATTTTGCTGGTTTTCAGTGCAATTTTATGTGAGTTCACACAGAAAGTTCCACCAAGTCTGTATTTTTAGTAGACCTAGTGGTGAACACTAGTTTTTAGTTGTTTCTTGGGAAAATGTGGTGTCATTTTAAACCTAATCTTATAACATTTTTACGGTTCTATTTTTATATTGTATTTTATCATATTGGTACCGCATGCTGCCCAGAGCGCTTTGGCTATTGCATGTTATTACATAAATTAAATGACTTGAAAATAAATTCAATGGATTCGCTTCCCAGGTAAGTGAATACAAGACTGTAGCTTTAATCTACCCCTCAAAGTTTGCCATACCATAAGGTATGCTCTCTTCCTGTAATATTTGTATACTCATTTAATTTTTATTCCCCTCGATAGTCAAGGCTTTCTGGGAGGTTAACAAAAGTTAAAATTAAACAAATATTAAAAAGAGACACACATTCATTTTAAAGAATAAAACCATCATTGCAATCACTACAATTCAGCATAGAAGCACAGCAGTGATGCAGAATAAAACAGAATATGTAAAAACTAAGTTAAAAAGGTAAAGTACTGGGAAAATTAAGATCTTCTTGGCACTGAAAAGCATACAAGGCCGGTCTACCAGGCGCATCTCTTTGGGGAGGCACATTCCAAAAACATTCCGTGTTTCTGTTTTACCTGCATGACACAGAGTTCCAGAAACTTAGTTTCTGTTTCAACTACAACCAAAACATTGTTTTTTCTGGAGCGGTACCGAACCCCTGCTCCACACCAAAAATCGGTGAGACTTACTGTTTGTGTTCTCCCTCTGGTATGTCCCTTTTACTTTGCCGTTGTCGTCAATGCTTAGAAAGAAATGATTTGGCGAATACAGCCTCCTCCAGCGCACATCCCCCCGCAGATGTGGGTAGCTCCGGATGCTCCGGCCGCTCGCTGGCCGCCAAGACTGGCCACCTTCCTGCAGAGCTGTGTCTGGGTTCTCTTCAGCAGATACCGTGAGCAGGAAGAGCATCAAGCAGAACCACACAGGATAACTGATGAGTTGGTCCCACCAACCCATAACAGTCCAGACCACGTAACAGAAGAATTCGCCCTGCTCCCAGGTGGGCCAAGGTGAGCATGTGTCTTCAAAGGGGAAAGCAACGAGAATTTTGCAAGAGACCCAGTGTTCCGGGGGTGGTTTGGGACGAGCGAACTTCTATGCATCGTGTTGCAGTGGAAAATCTTTTAACAACATGGTTGAGGAAGTTTCGGATGGCTTACAGGAGCCTTGTAGGTCTTGCCCAGAGATCCCAGTGGAATGATCAGAACAGCACCTGATGTCCTTGAGATCTAGCCTCTTGCAGTGTCTTCTCAAATCCTCAGATTGAAGATTAGCTTTCTCTGGCTAGGCAGCTTCATGATCTCTTCAGTCGAACTAGTTGTGCTGGGGAGGGAGGGAAAGAGAGAAAACCAGCTTTGCATTAGCCTAGGCAACTGACCCAAGTGACAAGAGGGAGAAATGTAGCAGCTGTTAATGTTCTTCCTCCTGCCCTGGAGAAGCAGGGTTGGCTGCATCTTCATCCCAACCAATGGCTAGGGCCCAAAGGCGGGGCAAGATGTGGTTGAATTATATCTCATTCATAAGCCTCCTCTGAGCTGTCAGAGGTTTTGAGCCTTGCAAAGGTTTCCATGTCCACCGGTGACAAGCAACTTTGCAAAATGCCAGATGTTCAGGCCCGCTTGTTTTTATCAGGAAGCAGGGCAAGGGTTGCGTGTAACAATGACTGGTTTAGAAGAACTTGATTTAGGGAGTGGAAGAACATTTTAGTGAACTTTTAAGAAGAGGCTTCAGAAAAAGATCAACTGCTCAAGCACCCCTTTCCCCGGCATTGGGTGGCCAGAGTCCCACAAGCAGGGCCAGAAGGCCAGAAACCACTCCAGAGGTTGCTCCCCAGCCAGTGGTAGTCAGAGAGGTAGACTGCTCCTGACACTGGAGGTTCTGTTTCATAAGCACCATGCCTCACAGACCTCTCCTCCTCTTCCATGAATTTCCCTGACATCCTTCACGCACCCTCAAAGCCCAGTGGTCATCATCACGTCAAGTGGCCACGTATTCCAAGCGCAGTTTACACATTGTGTAATAGTATTTTCCACTATCCATCTTCAATCTACTACTGATGGATTTCATGCTAGTTTTCCTTCTGTGAGGCTTTCCCTAATCCATTTCTCCAAGCACTGCACAAAATTATCTTTCTACTGCAGCGCTCCAAATGCATTGGTGTACAACTCCCAACATACCCATGTTCCCCAGCTACTGGGCTATTTAGGTATGCTGCCTCTAACGTGGAGCTGCCTCTGAGCTGCCAGGGCTATGAGCCATGGAGAGCATCAGTTTGGGAAAAATGCCTTTATGCCACCCTCTTTATGCAGGTCAATCATGCTGCATAAAAACCCCCTCCCCTTTCTTTAAAAAAGAAAAAAGGTGGGATATGAATCTAACAAATAAAGAAAGAAAGCATGCCCTTCCTCATTTTAAACAAAAACAAGAAACAACTTCTCCCGCTTTGTCAGGGGGCAACCAACTGGGTATCTACATGGTAAGAAATGCTCATTTCATTCTTGTCAGTCTTTAAAATACACATTTCTATAACATGGACATGGAACCACTGATTGGTTCAAAATTGAGAAAGGAGTTCGGCAAGGCTGCATACTGTCTCCCTACCTATTTAACTCATATACAGAGCACATCATGAGAAAGGCAGGGCTAGATGAATCACCAGTTGGAATTAAGATTGCTGGGAGAAATATCAACAGCCTCAGATATGCAGATGATACCACTCTAATGGCATAAGGTGAAGAGGAACTAAATAGCCTCTTGATGCAGGTAAAAGAGGAGAGTGCAAAAGTTGGCTTGAAACTCAACATCAAGAAGACTAAGATCATGGCATCTGGTCCCATCACTTCCTGGCAAATAGATGGGGAAGAAATGGAGGTAGTGACAGATTTTATTTTCCTGGGCTCCAACATCACCGCAGACAGGGACTGCAGCCAAGAAATTAAAAGACGCTTGCTCGTGGGGAGGAAAGCTATGGCAAACCTAGACAGCATACTAAAAAGCAGAGACATCACACTGCCGACAAAAGTGCGTATAGTCAAGGCTGTGGTTTTCCCAGTTGCAAGGTGTGGCTGTGAAAGCTGGACCATAAGGAAGGCTGAGCGCCGAAGGATTGAGGCCTTTGGATTGTGGTGCTGGAGGAGACTCCTGCGAGTCCCTTGGACCGCAAGGCGATCAAACCAGTCAGTCCTAGAGATCAACCCTGACTGCTCTTTAGAAGGCCAGATCCTGAAGATGGAACTCAAATACTTTGGCCACCTAATGAGAAGGAAGGACTCCCTGGAGAAGACCCTGATGCTGGGAAGGAGTGAAGGCCAAAAAGAAGGGAATGGCAGAGGATGAGGTGGCTGGATGGGGTCACTGAAGCAGTCGGTGTGAGCTTAGGTGGGCTCTGGGGGATGGTGGGAGGACAGGAGAGCCTGGAGGAATGTTGTCCATGGGGTCACGATGGGTTGGACATGACTTCGTGACTAGCATAAGCATAAATTCTATAACAAAATGACATTTATCTCCCAGTAACATTTTAGCAGCCACGTGGTGGATTCAAAGCCAATTTGCTCATGGTGTCATCATGGTGCTTGTGATGTGAGTACATGTACAAACCTAACACATTTTCAGAGTGTCTTTTTAAAAATCTGGATTTGCAAGCAGGGCTTTTAAAAGGAATGTAGAAACACTTTTAAGCATGGAATGTGTGTGTGTGTGTGTGCGCGCGCGCATAGAGAGAACCAAAATCTTATTCTGTGCATTGCAGAACACCCTACCCAACAAGAATATTTGGGTCCAGGATCTAAAATTACTTAGTTTCTTACCTCCATGTTGCAGGCTGATTTAAGGGGATTTATAACTCACAACTGCCCTGCAGTGCTCTCCCCACACTGAAAGTCGAGACGGAGAGGGAATGGCTTATGGTACAGGGTCCATATCCCAAGCACAGTGACCCAAATCCCCAAATTCTCCCTCTTGTGGCTCTCTGCAAAGAAACTTAGGGATCCTGTTATGTATGGAATGAGGACATTCCAGTCTGCTGTTGTCATTTTAGGACCAAGCTGAACCCGTTTGCTCTCAGAATGGAGGCAGCGTCACCCGGGAAAATATCTCCCTTACTGTGTTTGCAAGCATTCCAGGGAGGAGGAAACCTTTCAACTAAATAGGTGATGGATGGTGGAGGACTTGACTCAGTTCTGTTCTTTTTATAGCTGCTTTTAGAGTGCTGGACATTACTTTTCAGCAGAGCTGCAGGACTCATTGACAAAACAGACCTTGTCATCAACCATGCAATTAAAAGGCTAAAAATGGCTGCAGCAACAACACTCTGTAGCCTTTTCCATGCCTCTGGACAGCTGGGGCAATTTAATTAGATGCCCCTATATTAAAGCTGGCACTACACTATATCATAGAATAGTAGAGTTGGAAGGGACGATGAAGGCCATCAAGTCCAGCCCCCTGCTGTTTCCGGACACCAGATTACGCCATCCCACTCGGGACTGTCCAGTTTCTCCTTGAATTTTTCTAGTGTGGGAGAGCCCCCACCTCCCCAGGCAGCTGGTTCCACTGCCATGTTGCTCTGACAGCGAGGAAGCTTTTCCTGACGTCCAGCCTGAATCTGGCTTGCTGCAGCTGGACTTTATTATTCCGTGTCTTTTATCAGTGAGAAGATACCTCGGCCTTCCTCTTTGTGATAGCCTTTGTAGGATTTATAGAGGGATATCATGACTCCTGTTGGTTTTTTCTTCTGAAGGCTGAACAGGAAGGACAAGTGCCAAGTTCTTTTAGTCTCTCCTCATAGGGCTTTCTTAGAATCATAGAATAGTACGGTTGAAAGGGGCCAAGAAGGCCATCAAGTCCAGCCCCCCACTGGTGCAGGACACCAAGTCACCATCCCACTCAGGTGGCTGCCCAGTTTCTTTTTGGATGTCTCCGGGGTGGGAGAGCCCCCACCTCTCCAGGCCTCACTCTCGTATTGCTCTGACAGTGAGGAAGCTTTTCCTGATGTCCAGCCTGAATCTGGGTTGTCGCAACTAATATATCACTATATAATATTGCATCTACCTCATTAAACTACCCCAACTGTTTCAAAGAGCACCAAGCCCAAAAAGTATTTTAAAAACATGTTTCAATGTCTTGGTTTTCAGGTCTGGGCACATTTCTCTTGGAAAATATACTCTCCTCTCTCTCAGTCTTAAAAGGGTTTGAGGCTGTAAACCATGGTGTGAAGCTGGCTTGGTATCCTGGCTTGTTGCAAAGTTGGTGACCCCGGTTTTGATGGAATGGGAAACTAGTTTGATTGCTTTGCTATAAAAGTGAGAGGACCTTTCCATAGAAGAGAGGAATGAGCGTTACTTTTGTGTGAGAAGGAGGGCTTTTCTGGCTTTGATAGCATCCAACTTGAACCAGACTCCCCTGAAACTACGTTCAGCAGTTGCTTGCTCAGCAAGCAAATGCAGTCTGTCCCTTTCTTGCTCATGGGTCGCTTCCAGCCTCACTTGTCTGGAGTTAGCGGGACGACGCCTCCCAGGTCTAGGGCAATCTCTCTCTTAATCTCCTTTCCCCATCAGTGCCTGCATTCTGGAACTACAGTCCTTAGAAAGCGAGAAGCACATGACACTTAGAAAGATTTGATCATATAACAAGGAGGGCCAGGAAGGGTCTATATTTTGTGTTGTGTGGTATTTTGTATTTATTTAAATTGCTTTTTTAGCTTTCCCCATTTGCCATAAGATTCCTTGGGCAGATTATAAATAAAAATATACCATAAGATAAAGTAACAGGTATGCAATCAAACATGAATATAACAGTCTTAAAACCTGACAACTTAACATCTGACATTCTTTCAGCAGAAGACAGACAGTTTTCAAATTGGCGTGAAGGGCTTTGGACAAAACAGGAAAACCATCAAATGGTCTGTGGGGAAGTGAGCACTGGGAAAGACTGAAGGGCTGCACTGGATTGCCAGGTGGGCTGCATCCTGCACCCCTGTTCAGGATGATCTCCCATATCCCGATTTTGCAATCAGAGGAGGCAACAACAGTTTCTGAGCATGACGACACGCCTGGCAAAGGCACACAAGGGTGATTTCAGCTTCTATTTTGGGGCTTCCTCATTTATTTCACTTGCAAGCAACCTCGTCCTCGTTGTCCTAGTCTTGCATAACCTGTTGGCTCCCCGTGTTGCAAGACCAGGCCTGCATTGCTCCACAGCAAGGAATGACTCTTTCCGGGATCGTGGTGACCTTTTCACTAAGACATCCCCTGCACAGCAGAGCCCTTGCTTTTCAAGGAAGGGGCCGCGACACTGAGATGGTTTGGACCTTGCGTGGTCCTTCTGGTGGAGTTGGGCCTCATGGATGGCTGTGCCTGTTTGCTCCTTGCATTTTCAGTCTATTTCCAACATTGTTCCTAGCAGTTCCTGGGAGGGAGAGGTACCTGCCCAGGTAAAAACAGGGATTGGCACCATTTGGCCAGCTCATTTTCAGCTGTCCGTGTAAAAGCCCGGCTTTGCAAACAGGAAGTACTCTGCAATTCCTCTGCATAATATTTGAAATGCGCAATGGCAAACAGTCTGGGAGGTGGCCAGCAGGGCTGTTCCTCTTGCAAAGCCTTCTTTCCACCCCCTGAATGCCTTTTTATTATGTATATGTTTGTTTATTAGATTTATATCCCACTTTTTTCCTACGAACGCCAAGCGGCTTTCATCCTCCTCCTCCTGCTCTGTATCTTTGCAACAACAACCCTGTGAGGTAGGCTGGGCTGGGAGTCTGCAAGTGGCCCTAAGTCAGCCAGTGAGCTCCATGGCTGAGTAGGACTCGAACCCAGAGCACCTGAGTGGGTCTTGAACACTTCCCCACACTGACTCTCTTTTCTGCTTTTGGCCCACTTGCTCCTATGGCAGAGTAGCTTGCCCAAATCAGGACGCTTGTTTTAGCCAAGCAGGGCCACTATGACAAGTTGCTGTGTTCATTTTAATATGTTTCATATATAATTATTAAATAACATTTTACAGATCTTGAGCCTTCAATAGTGTTCCGGGCATCCTTGTCTTTGGAATTTTGTTCCCATCTCATCTGAGTTTTCATTGTCCTCGTCTTGCATGCGTGTAAAATCCAGCACCTGAGAAAACAGGTATGATTTGGCAAGGGTTTGGACAAGATGGCGGCACCCTTGGGCCCCATCCTCTAGTGGTGCATCCCACCTGCTTGCCAGTGGAACTCAGGCTGGCTGTCTTCCTCCTTAGGCCCAATTTGCTTCCTTGGCACTGCCGTTTCCTGGGCCAGAGCAAGAAGCGGTGAGCCTTCGTAAGTGTCCAATTATGTTTACCCTTGGTCCTGGGTACCATACCATGCATCTGGGGTTGATGGATTGTGCCCACCTGCATTGGCACCGGAGCAGGTGTGCTGCCTGGCCCAAACTGCCCTTGGGAGACCTCCATCTTCCATTAGGCTAGTCCAGGGCAGGACTATAAAGAACAAAAGCCCTGGGAAGAGCTGAGCCCCAGGCTGGAGGTGGCCCATCTGAGCCAGACCAAGCCAGGGGGGTGTGTGATGTGCAGACATTTAAATTACATGAATTGCTTCCCTATTTGCATCCATCTATGCAAATAGACATGTTTATTTTTATTTTGCAAACCTCTGCCCTGTGTTCTGGAGGAAGTGATGCATTTCCTCCCTTTGGGTAAGCACCCTATTTTGCACCCAGTGCAAAATATCTGGCAGTCACCCTGTTTTGCATCTGCTCTGAAAATGCTGCGGCTGCAAAAACTGATGCTAAAAAAATGCTCTTTCGGATGTCCCTAGTTTTTGTTTTTGACAAGTCACCTCTTCTATTTAGTAGATTTATTTAGTAGATCTAGGGACCTTCCGTCGCTATAGTGATATTCAGAAACCCGGAAAGGTAGGCGCAGGCGCTGTGAAGGAGTGGAGGGGGGGGGCTATCACGCATGCGCAGAACTTAACACGGTGTATGCGAGCGGCCTTCTGTTTGCCTCGTATAGGGGAACGTGTCACTTGCTGCGCATGCGTCCCTGCAGGCAACCAAAAAAAAAAAAACTCCGTGTCGGCGCGCGCGTATGACGTCATCACCGAAGGCGCCTGAGCTGCATGTGCGGCGCGGAGTCGGAGGCCATCATGGACGATGAGGAGGAAACTTACCGGCTCTGGAAGATCCGGAAGACCATCATGCAGGTTGGGGAGAAGGGCGTCCCGGGGAAGCGAAGGGCAACGGGGATCGTGGTGGGTGTGGGGCGGGGCGGGGCGGCTTCTGGGGCGCTTTCTCTACGCCGTCTGGAGGCCTGCCATGCAGGGTTGTTGTGCGCCGCATTTCAGAAGACTTTCTGAGCCTTTTTTCCTCTCCGTGTTGTGACGGGATGGACCGTTTCCAGCCGTGTTGCGCCCTCCCCTTTCTCTTTCAGGCAGCCTAGGATATGAAGGCCTGGAAAATATCCTGTGTATTATTAAGCTCTCCCTTCCGTTCTCTTGAATGGGTCGATAAAAATGTGTATATAATTGTTGTATTTACTGTATTTTTATAGGGATCGAGGGGATAAAAAAGGGAAAAATTGAGGGGAGTTTCTCTGAAGGTTTCTGGGGGAATTTTGCAGCATGGGAAAAAATGGGAAGAAAATGATTATTAGATTTATATATTGTCTTTTTTTCTTCTCAGAGTGGCTTACATCATTCTTCGGCTGCTGCTCGCAATCTTATCCCAACAACAACCCTGTGAGGCAGGCTGCGATCTGCTCAAAGACACCCACTTGGCTCCATGGCTAACAGCAGATTCAAACCCAGCTTGCCTGAGTCCCTCTCTGCACTTGTAACACCAACACCACCATGTCTTTCAAGATACCGTTTTCTGAATCTGCATGGAGGTTTTGCGTGGGGCCTTTCACATCTGCACTCATGGGTGAGAGTCATGCTGTAGCCGTGTGAATGTTAGCCCTGTAGCTCACTGGGAGACTGAGCCAATCAGGGGCTTTCACCCTGACCTACCTCACAGTTGTTGGTGGGAAAAGAGGTGGAATATACATGCTGCGAAAAAATTCCTCTTGTAAGCCGTAAGTTTAATAGTTATGCTAATTACAAACAAAATCAATTTGATGGTTGTTTGGGAGAAAGATTGTCACTTTAAAATGAAAGGTTGTAACCACATTGCCCTATTACGTACTTAATATCACAGTGACACAGTGGCCTAATCTGAATGTCGTGACGAGTCACTTGTTATGTGCCCAACCATCACCTTTGTGCCCTCTCCTTTTCCGGCATGATTTATTTATTATTATTTATTTATTAAAACATTTTTATGCCGCCCCATTCGCCGAAGCCTCGGGGCGGCTTACAAACAATGATTGCAATGATCGGGGCGGCTTACAAACAATGATTGCAAGGAGGAGTCCGGAAGGTTTTCTCTGTAATCTGAAATTGCCGCATGGCATTTGAACTGTGGTTAATCTTCGCTCTACTTGGCTGAAGCCAGCCAGCCTCAAGCTGTACTGTATGATGCTAGCTTGTTTCCACTAACCAAAATGAAGGCTACACTTTGCCTGCATTCTGAGTGCTTGAACTCAGCTTAGTCCTAACTGAAAAGCAAAAGCTTCCAAATGCGTTTTATCCATGCCTGAAGAGGGGATTGGGAGCAGTTTTGTTTGTGTAACAGTAATCTATATCTGATTGTGCCTGAATAAGGCCAGTATTGCTTGGATACATCTATGAGAGAAATCCGGTTGGGCAAGATCCAGTAAGCCTGGCACCGTTTCCTAGTGTTCCTAGCAAAGCTGCGTTCATAAACAAAATGCAGATCGCACGTTAGAAGTATGTTGGCAGCCCTCCCATTCTGGATCTTTCTGGTACTTGAAGAATGCTGTTTTGCAGGCTTATTTGCAAGTTTTTATTCAAAGGGCAATCCTTGAATGGTGAACAGTAAAGGAGAAACTGGTTACAACACCACCACCACCCCCGCAGAAAAAATCAGGTCAAGTTATGGAAGCTCCATTCTTGGTTAATTGTTATCAGTTTATACAATCATAGAATAGAAGATTTGGAAGGGGCCATGAAGGCCATTGAGTCCAACCCCCTGCTGTTGCCAGGCACCAGTTCACACCACCCCACTCAGGTGGCTGCCCAGTTTCACCTTGAATGTCTCTAGTGTGGGAGAGCCCCCCACCTCTCCAGGCAGCTGCTTCCACTGCCATATTGGTCTGACCATGAGGAAGCTTTTCCTGATGTCCAGCCTGAATCTGGGTTGCCGCAGCTTGAATTGATTATTCCATGTTCCATGTCTGGCATTAGCAAGAAGAGATCTTGACCTTCCTCTTTGTGACAGTCATTGAGGTACTTCTAGAGGGATATCATGTCCCCCCTCAGCCTTCTCTTCTCAAGGCTGAACATGCCCAGTTCCCTCAGTTTCTCCTCACAGGGCAGTGTTTCCAAACCTGGATCATTTTTGTTGCCCTCCGCTGGACCCTTTCTAATTGACCTGCCTCTTTCTTAAGTCTTGGTGCCCAGAACTGGACACAGTATTCCAGGTGAGGTCTGACTAGCGAGGAGTATTGGGGAACTACTGCATCTCGTGATCTGGAAGTAATACTTCCGTTAATGCATCCCAAAATAGCACTTGCCCTTTTGGCAGCTGCATCACATTGTCGGCTCATGTTTAGCCTGTTGTCCACAATGACTCCGAGATCTTTTTCTTGTTCAGTTCTATTGAACCACGTCTTCCCTATCTTGTACTGATGCCTTTGTTTTCTTTCTCCTAAGTGGAGGACTTGGCACTTGTCCTTGTTGAATTTCATTCTGTTGCTTTCAGCCCAGTGTTCAAGTTTATCAGGGTCGCCCTGGATCTTCATTCTGTCTTGTACTTCTTCATCTAAATCATTAATACAGATGTTGAAGAGCACTGGGCCCAGGACTGAACCCTGTGGCATCCCACTGGTTACCTCCATCCAATTTGAGAAGGTGTCATTGATTGAAGGTGTCTTTATGTCCAATTTAGCAGCCAATTTTGAATCCACCTAATAGTTTTTCCATCTAGTCCAGTTCTTGCTAATTTGCTTATGAGAATGGATTGTGGCAATGTTGAAAGCTTTGCTAAAGTCTAGGTCAGTGGTGGTGAACCTATGGCATGTGCGCCACAGCAGGCATGCAGAGCCCTCTCTGTCGGCACGCGAGCCAAGCCACCCCAGCATCTCCCCAGCAGCCGAGCATCGGATAACAGCGCACATAGCGGCCCTGCGCATGCTCAAAAAGGAGTAACGGCGCCAGGTGATGACATCATGAGCCGTGACTCATTAGCCGTGATTCATTTGAACTATCACATGGCTGGTCAGTGTGCTACCAAGGATTTGCTTCGACTGGCTCTAAGTAGATTTTTCTAAACTAAAACCTCAGTATTCAGTTTTTATTGCAGTGTTGGCACTTTGCAATAAATAAGTTGGATTTTGGGTTGCAGTTTGGACAATCGGTCTCTAAAAGGTTCGCCATCACTGGTCTAGGTAGATTATGTCCACAGTGTTCCCTTTGTCCATTTGGGAAGTTACCCAGTCAAAGAATGCGATCAAATTAGTCTGACAGGATTTCTTGTTGATAAGCCCATGCTGGCTTCTATTCATCACTGCATTTCCTTCAAGATGCTTGCAGATGGATTTTAATAATTTGCTCCAGAATTTTTCCAGGGATTGATGTCAGACTAACTGGTCTGTAGTTCCCAGCTTCATCTTTTTTTCCCCTTTTTGAAGACTGGGACAACATGAGCCCTTCCCCAGTGGTCTGGCGCTTCTCCTGTTTTCCAGGATTGATCAAAGATAATTGCCAGTGGTTCTGAGAGTCCCTCCGCTAGCTCTTGTATGACTCTGGCCTGGAGGTGATCGGGCTTTGAACGTGCTTCTTCCACCCAGGTCTTCCTTGACCATTTGTCTGTCAATCTTGGGCTGCCATCTCTCGTTTCCAGTTGTACTTCCTCTTGATTGCAGATCTCCTTGTGGGAGTAGATGGAAGCGAAGGAGGGATTGAGTGCCTCTGCCTTCTCTGTTTTCCCTCTGCCACTCAGTTGAAGTAGCTGCTCACCCTTGGCTCCCTCTCATGTCTTTCGTTCTGGATGTATCTGAAGAAGGCCTTCTCGTTGTGCTTAGCAGTTCACAGTTCATCTCCTGCTTAGCCTTCTGGACTCAATTCCTGCAATTCCCTGCTATTTGCAAGAAATTCTTCTTTCGTGGCCTGGCCCTGCTTCAACTTCCTGTACATGTTCCGTCCTTTCTTTCTTTCTTTCTTTCTTTCTTTCTTTCTTTCTTTCTTTC